GGCTTACCTGGTTAAATAAAGGTGAAATAAAATAAAAATGAGCTCACTGCTCCCTGCTTTTCCAGTAACATATTGTTCTCTTCCTATAGCAGTTTGTACAAATGATGGATTCCATAGATCACTGCTTTAATCAACGTCCTGTAGCTGACAGTAAATTGCATTTCCGTAAAGGAGGGAAACACAATTGGGCCTGCAGAGGAGAAAAAACAACTATACATTTCCAACTGTAAATGGATTCCGTTTTGAGCAGACATGTCTTGATGTCCTGCTCTGACATTAACCAACAAAAATAGGTTACAGGAAAGCAAAGCAAATTAATAAATAATTATGTTTTCAACCCAGCAACAGACAAAAAGATTAATGGCTGAGCAGGTGACAATGTTTTTCTTTGCTGGGTGTTTTCAGAGCCAGAAATGATGTATTGTATGTCCTCCAGACTTCTGTCTGTCTGTCTGTCTTTTTATTTAAAAAAATTGTAAGCCCCAAAAGGCACTCTATTTCCTATATAGTGCACTACTTTTGACCTGAGCCCTAGGGTGCCATTTGGGACACACACATTGTAATATTCACCACAGGTTAAGTGGAGATTTCAGACAGAACGGTAGCTAGAATTCTGCCTTCTGTTATGGTGTGACATTTCCACCTTCTGTCACGTTCAGCTGCCCAGCAACTACAGTGAAGCTTTCATTCCAAGTAACACTCACATTCCATAGCCTGGTTCCAGATCTCTTTGTGCTGTTTTACCAACTCCTATGATCTTTGGCATGGTATCTGGGACCAGGCTATCACTCACAGTCAAATCCCTGAATACTGTGTGAGTAACGACCTCAGGTACATTTATGTGTACATGTTCTCACAAGGTTAAATCTTTTCACAAGACAACATTGTAATTTCATAATGGAATGTACAGCTTTATTATTAGAAACCAACCCAATAAAATAGCATCAGATGAAAATGTATGCCTTATCCACTACACAGAACAGAATATTATATGAAAATATAATTTTATAAGAATGGAAAAGTAATAATATTTGGGCTATCTGCCAATCTTCTAGATATAGGAAAGCTATAGGAGAAGGAGGAGGCGAAGGAGGAGGAGAAGGAAGAAGAGAAGGAGGAGGTGAAGGAGGAGGCAAAGGAGGAGAAGAAGGAGGAGGCGAAGGAGGAGGCATGTGTGCACAAAGTTATTTGAATGACAACTGGGTAACCAATAACCAGATTCGTTGAGTGTTTATTTTGAACTCTAGTGGTTGTGATTAGACCGTAACTAGGTTAAAACCCAACCAATTCTTGCTGTGAGAGCTCTCTCCACATTCAGACAGGAATCATTTGGACCACCCATAACAGCAGTCAGATGAGAGTGCACTGATGTACTTTATTCATCCTCCTCTTTCTCGCTCTCTCTCTCCTCACTCATCGTCTCTCATGTCTTCTGTCTCCCTCTCTCCCCCTCTCTCGGTCTCTCCCTCTCCTCTCTCTCCCTCTCCTCTCCCTCTCTCTCCCCTCTCTCCTCTCTCTCCTCTCTCTCCCCCCCCTCCCTCTCCCTCTCTCCTCCCTCCCCTCCATCTCCGCCCTCTGTCCCTTCTCCCTCTCTCTCCATCCTCTCTCGTGCTCTGTCTCTCTCTCTCCCTCTCCATGCTCTCTCTGTCTCTCTCCTCTCTCTCCTCTCCCTCTATATCCAATCTTCTCTGTCTCTTCTCCTCTCTCCTCTCTCTCCTCTCTCCCCTCTTTTGCTCTCTCCTCTGTCTCTCACCTCTGTCTCTGTCTCCCCCTGTCTCCGTCTCTCCCTCCTCTCTCGATCCGTTCTCATCCCTCTCTCCCTCTTCTAATCCAATTCCTTCTCTCATGTCTCCGCTCTCCTGCTTCTCTCCCTTTTTCCTCTACTCTTCTATCTATTCGCTCTCCCTAGCGCTCTCAACCTCATCTCTCTCCTGCTATATCTCGCTCCTCATCCTCGTCTCGCTCTCTCTCTCTCCTCTCTGCCTCGTCGTCTCTCTCCTTCTTGTCTAGCAGCTCTCGCTCAGACTTATCCCCCATCCTCCCCCCTTCCTCTCCCTTCTCCGTCCTTCTTCACATGACTTCAATCGGTCTCAGACAGAAGATCTATCGGCGCCTACTCATGTCCTCCAGTCTACATATCCTCTAACGATCCTACTACGGCCCCTCTCAACTCTCTTCGTTTTACTCCCCTTTTCTCATTGGGACTCCATTTCATCAATGAATTCAGACAGAGAGACAGTAATCGGCACACATTACCATTGTCACTCCCGGCCTCTCTCCTACATGGCGTGCTGTCGTTAATAGTTTGTTGAGAAGTACATCCTCTTTGAATATTGAGGAGCTTTGCTATTATACAATGTTCTCTCAGTGGGCAGAACAGTAACGCACCACATCTAAACCTATTACACCTGGCCTTTGCACAATGGAAGATTCTGTGTTATATTGTTAACGAGATATCTATTCCATTACTGTTGTGTCTGAGTGGGTCTCAAAGAAAGTTCAGTTATGAAATGATGAAACTTCGAAGGCATAGACTACTGAAGATAGATCAGGCACAGTAATTTAAAAGCTTTCAATCGTCATCAGGCATCACACAATCCCACAGATACTGTATATGATAATAGCGACACATTGATAAACTCCATAGCTTAATGCAGGCCTAGCGTTTGTCGAACAGACGAGAAGTTCCTTTCATATCCTCGCCTCATGTGCATCTTTGTCAATATATATTTTATTTTTACAATATCAATGTCACTAGTCTGGAAGGTACAACAACAGAATATACACTGAGTGTACAAAACATTAGGAACACCTTCCTAATATTGAGTTGCACCCCTCCCTTTTGCCCTCAGAACAGCCACAATTCGTCGGGGCATGGACTCTACAAGGTGTCGAAATTGTTCCACAGGAATGCTGACCCATGTTTACTCCAATGCTTCCCACAGTTGTGTCAAGTTGGCTGGATGTCCTTTGGGTGGTGGACCATTCTTGATACACACGGGAAACTGTTGAGCGTGAAAAACCCAGCAGCATTGTAGTTCTTGACACAAACCGGTGCGCCTGGCACCTACTACCATACCCCGTTCAAAGGCACTTAAATATTTTGTCTTGCCGATTCACCCTCTGAATCGTACACATACACAGTCCATGTCTCAATTGTCTCAAGGCTTAAAAATCCTTCTTTAACTTGTCTCCTCCCCTTCATCTACACTGATTGAAGTGGATTTAATAAGTGACATCAATAAGGGATCATCATTTTCACATGGATTCACCTGATCAGTCTATGTCATGGAAAGAGCAGGTGTTCATAATCTTTTGTACACTCAGTGTAGATAAAGTTTCTGCCACTATAGATACACATTACCATGTGGACAATCAAGCTATTTGGATCTAAATGTCTCTCTCTAATTTCTGTTTAATATGCTTCCTGTTCTCGTCCTACCTCTCTGAACAACACACTCAATCATACGGTATGTAGCCAAGTCAATAATATGAGCATTGTGTGTGATCCTATGGTTATGGCTGTAGGACGCTATCTAGCCCAAGGACGGTCCATTTCGAAATTCAGCTGTGTGGAGGCCATTTCAATACAAGTCTTAACAATACAAGGACCAAACAAGCTTAACAAAACACACAACTGTGTGTGACTGTGATGTGGCTACACTGAAAAGCAGATATGGTGAGAATGCACAGGAAAGTGTCTTATGGTGACCAGGGTCCAAATACATGTGTACCAGGTATGGCGCATCCTTCCCACTGCTGAACAGAACCACGCTGCGCATCTGTGCTGCTAATATTAATTGTGCTTATCACTGAAAAGCCCTCAATCTCTCCAAAAACTATTGTTCAGTCCACTCAGTAGTCAGATTTTAGTCACAGAGATAATTTCGTCTCATCTCGTTTTAGTCAACTAATATGAAAAATCATTTTCGTTTAATTATAACTTTTTCTGGGTCTATTAAGTCAGTTATAGTCTTGTCAATTGCCACATAAAAATAGGTGCTTGGGGAAATGAATTCTACGAGTTGACGTCTTAGAGCAATATAGGACATCGGACAGTGGATTTGAATGTTTACATTCAAGGAAAGGTCCCTGACAACAAACTCCATCTCCATCTCCTAGATGGTGAACAGAGATGTCCCATCAACTCCCAGAACTCACAGGGACTTTGCCTCAGCTCATTTGTCTATTCCCTGGTCCCTAGACTGGTGTGTAGTGAGGACAGAATATAAATTAACCCGGTCGATAACGAACTAACAATGTTCAAGCCCATTTAAAGCATGTTAACCCTGCTGCTCAGTCATTGTGAATCACAAAGTCGCTCAGGCTTATTGCATGCAGCCAGTCAAACATCTGTCAATGAAAATACTTTTTTTCTACCGTTATTTTTTCTCTTCAATCTACACCCAAAAATACACCAAGGGGAATGAGTCATCGTGAAGTGAGCTTTTTGACATGTGGCGACTAGCAATGAATGGCAGCACTGCAAAGTTATTTTCAAGAATTTCGGTTGTTTGGCCAGCTTTCTTTCACAGTGCATTGTGAAGACTTCAAAATAACTACGATTTACAATATTATGAACAGGAGTTAGATTTGGTATTCTGTTCTTTCTGATAGCCAAGTTCTCTTTCTGTTGTTTTCTTACAGTAATGCCAATCGGCCAGAATTTTAGCGGATTACAAAACCTTTCATTCTTTCTTTATATGTTTTTATTGTTTATTGAGTTCTAATTTAGTGTAACAAGATTACAAAATAGCCTTATTTTGGAAATACGATGATTTTCACTTTGCGAGAACAATATTCTGTTACACATCACCATGAACACAAAGTTAAGCATTGGATCATTGGATTAAGGGCACTACCTAATGGATAACTACCTAAGCAAAACCTAATAGCAATGCTCATCAAGAAACATCCAGAACCACAGTCACTCAGGGATATTGACTTAACAATATAGGACTGTTGAAGGACACCAGGGTACAGTAAACAATACAACACCATTAAAGGATACCATTGAATGGTATGTACTCACTGAAGGCTGCCACTGCCAGGATGATTGTCACCACGATGGAGATCCAAGACACCCACAATGCCTTCTTCCTGTAGTTCTGAGCCTCGTGGGGCTTTAATCGCATGCTGCTCTCCAGCAGGCCTGTGGAGAGGTGAGAAACTGGGATTAATGGCTATCCCCATGCACATCTAGCCAAAGGCAGGAGGTGAACAATGTGCTACAACAAGGGCTAATTAACACCGCTTCAAACCACAATGGAGTTAGTTCTCCTCCTTCCCCTTCCCCCAGAAAGCACTTGGCTGTTGAAGATGTAATTTGCAGTGTTGTAGGAAGGTAAAGTGTGCATGAATCCCAGTGAGGTACAACACAGCTACAGATAAGAAAGAAAGAAAGAGAACGAAAGAGAAGAAAGAAAGAGAAAGGGAAGAAATCAACGAAAGAAAGCAAGAAAGAAAAAGAAAAGAAAGAAAGAAGAAAGAAAAGAACGAAAGAAGAAAGAAAAGAAAGGAGAAAGAAGAATAGAAGAAGAAGGAAGAAGAAGAGAGCGAGAGAGAGGAGGAGAGAGAGAGAGATGAGGAGAGGGGAGGACCGAGAGGAAGAGAGAGAGGAGAGGGGATCGTTTGAGAGAGAGAGAGAGAGAGAGAGAGATGAGGTGAGAGAGAGAGAGAGAGAGAGAGAAAGAGACTTACAGCACAGAGACCCTCAATACTAGATGTTGGGATTATGAATCTGCCAGTGCTTCCCTCTTCATTGCCATGTGGGTTTGTGTGAATGAGCACTGAGACTCTTAGCCCTTTATACATGCTGACTGACTGGAGATCGTAAAGTTGCGTACAATCGTAGTGAAATATTTACCAGCTCATATCTCAGTCCTTTCATGCATTGATTTGAGTTCAGTGGGAGGCAGGAATGTTATCAGGACCACACAGATCTGATCACTTGTTGAACTCTGACCTAAAATCAGCTTGTCTAGCTGTGTTACAGCAACATTAGTTCTTCCAAATGGAAATCAAAGGGAATCACATGTTCAAGTGTCCTCAGGGATGAGTCTCGAACCGAGTCAGTCAGGGGTGAAAGTAAAGTGCAAAATCCCCCTTACCCTACATCGCATCGTGGTCTTTAGGTCAGCTTTAAGAAGAGTAGGCTAATTGGTGGTGCAGAGTCACATGCCCCAGCTCCATACAGTTCTTATAGGATAGAGTTAATAGCAGCTCTCTCTCTGTGTGTGTGTGTGTGTGTGTGTGCTCACGCGCGTGTGCATGCGCGCGTGTGTGGTGTGTGTGTGTGTGTGTGTGTTGTGTGTGTGTGTGTGTGTGTGTGTGTGTGTGTGTGTGTGTGTGTGTGTGTGCTCACGCGCGTGTGCATGCGCGTGTGTGTGTGTGGTGTGTTGTTTTGTTTGTGTTTGTTGCTCGCGCGCGTGTGGCATGTGTGTGTGTGTGTGTGTCTCGCGCGCGGGTGGGGGGGGGGGGGTGCATGAGTGTGGTGTGTGTTTGCGTGCATGGCTGGAGGGGAGGTTGTTGGGCACATGCTTCCTCTGCTGATCCTAGATGTGGATCATGTGAGTTGAACGAAGCTGCATTCTTCCCTGCTGCTCTATCACTCACTTCCTCTAAACATACACACACACAGAACTACACCCATACACACACACAGACCTTACACACACACACACCAACACACACAGACAGACCACACATACACACACCAGACATACACACACAACACACACACACAGACACACACACCAACACACCACACACAGACCTACACCACACACACACACACACACAGACATACACACATACACACACAGCACATACACACACACACACACAGACATACACACACACACACACACACACACACAGACATACACACACACACACACACAGACATACACACACACACACACACACACACACACATACACACACACACACACACAGACATACACATAAACAGACATAAACATACACACACACACACACACACACACAGATACACATACACAGACATACACACACAAACATCATAGATACTGACCCTACATTTGATGATAAACTGCATACATTGGATGATTCGTACTTTCCTTTTCCCAGAATTATGGAGGGTAAAGATCACAGTATGTAGGCTGACTACGACTTTAGAAAAAAAGGTGCAAAGTAGAACCATATAGTGTTCTTTGGTTTGTCCACATAGGGCAGGGGTCAGCAAGAGGCGACTCGCGGGCCGAAACTATTCTTGGTTCACCCAACGTTTTTATATAAGAAATCTGTCTCCAAGTATTCCCACAAATAAAAAATGTATTTAACAAATGGACATATGTGATCGTGGCTCAATGCAATCAAGGTGTATGAAATGATTGTTATTTTCAAACACAATCTCTTTTTGGGCTTAGTTGTGGTCAATTTGCAGTGTCCTGTGTATTGTCATTATTTTCCGGCCCCCCGACCATTAGCTACGACAAAAATTGGCCTTTTATCCTCTAAAGGTTCTACCTAGAACCCTCTATGAAGGTCGGAAACTACTGGTTTACAGGCCATATTAGGCCTGCAAGTCACATTATGCTGGTTTACAAAGTGATGTGTAATTCCTATTGGAATCCAGCCAAAGATACAATATCCAACATGCAACCTGAATTCAGATTAACTGCCAGGGTAGGGAAGATTGATTATTGAGACTACCTAAATGATGTAAACTGGATTGATTGATCTTATGCTACACAAAGATAAATAACTACAATTTTAGCAAAAACACAGATATTTAAATAAACAATTCTGAAAATCAACCTGCTATAAATTATTAAGGGAATACCAGATATGTGCACAAATATTCCCATATAGGTACAGTTTAAAACATTCACACACCTCTTTTTAAATTTACCAGATTACTCAAACCCCTGATGTTAAAGTTTAAACACTGAGGTAAACACTAATGCTCAGGCACTATTTAAAAGAAAGAAAACAAATACAGTAAAAAATCTTATTCAGAAGGGATCTATGTAGAACCCATCTTGCCTTCCAAAGAATCATCAAAGAACCCTTTCTTCGAAAAATGGTTCTTAGGAGAAAAAGGTTTTAGGTAGAACTTGCTTTACAAAGAACCCTTGTCTTAAGCGTGTGTTTAATTAATACCATAGAAATACATTGATTTTCAATCCATGTTGGTTTTTGTGGATTAACTAGATTACCTCACTACATGTTCATAATCTTAAACATACTCAAATTGGAAGTAATTCCAATTTTCGCCCTCTAATGAATATGTGATTAGATTCCAATGGCACGCTAGGCTATGACCGTAATCTCCCTAATAGAATGTTAACACATTTTCTGAAAAACCCATGGAACCCTCCCTTTTAAAAGGGCAGGTTAGGATTTTTCGTCATGAATCTTGTTCTGGAGGCAGCTGGTTACTAGCTAGCACAGCCACAAAGTCATAACATCTGATTTTAAGCCTATCCCTAACCTTAACCACACTGCTAACCCTAATGCCTAAACCTAACCTTAAATTAAGCACAAAAAAATTTCAAGATTTTTTACAGTATAGCCAGTTTTGACTTTGCAGCTGATCTATCTAAGGGGAAATCGTTCAGTGCTGCCTCCAGGACAAGACTCATGACAATAAAATGTCAACCTGCTTTAAAAGGTGGTTCCAACAATCTCAATTCACTCTGACATTCCACTCCTCCCCACAGTCCCCTGTATTGCCAGCTGTCAATTAAAAACGCATAAATTATTCAAAGCACTGAATGAATTGGTTGGGGTGATTCCAGGTAACACATGATATAACAGATGGGGGGCAGAGAGGCTCTACTGTTTTAATTGAAACCGTTCAAAAACATTTCCTCCTTGATGTCCCTGTCTCTCATCTCTTTCCAGTCGCTATGCTTCAGACTCATCCCTATGGGCAACGAGCATCATTAAGGCTCTCTAACGCATTGACTGGGCCTCATTAGAGACCTGGCCAGCCAGAGCTTCAGCACCTACACTCTTAGAAAAAAGGGTTCCAAAAGAGTTCTTCGGCTGTCCCCCTTTTGGGTTCCATTTAAAACCCTCTGTGGAAAGGGTTCTACATGGAACCCAAAAGGGTTCTACCTGGAACCAAAATTGTTCTACCTGGAACCAAAAGGGTTCTGCCTGGAACCAAAAAGGGTTATTCAAAATGTTATCCTATGGGGACCACTGAAGAACCATTTTAGGTTCTAGCAAGCGCCTTTTTTTTCTGTGTACAGTACTCCTACATAGACTCTCTTTAGTTACCATCTCATTACATCTGCTCTGGTCACCCTATGACAGAGGCCTCAGTTGGGTATGGCTGGGCCTAACCCTAGCTCAAGACCAAAAATGTAAATGTAGGCTACATATAGGAAGACGAAAATCATTCCAGTCCTGATTAAAATGCAATGGCTGTTTAGAGTATTGGTTGGGTGGATGGCTTTAGGACCATGCAGAGATCAGCTCGGAGAGCAGCTGCCAGCCTGATGCCTTTCTGTCAGGGAGCAGAGCCGTGCCAGACAGTCAGGCAGTGCACCAATTGAATTTGATGTCAGCATTTGAACTCGGCCTTGTAAGCCTTGCAGCCAGCAACTGTTATATTCACTGGTTACTTTCACATTGATGTTGGCATAGGCCAGGGGAAGTTAGCTTCCCCTAAAGTAAATTTAATTACATTTGCCAAAAGTAGCTATATAAATTACTTGCGCCTATACATAAATAAATGAAATCATTCAAAATACTACACCAGAGAGCATGATTTGGCCACAGAGGATCATTAGCATCTTTTAAAAATTAACTGTGGATTGTTTTAAGCGCACAATTTGGGCAGCGCACGCAGCAAATAGCTTACCAAATAGGCTAGCTGATTGTTGACGTGATCTTCCTGTCTGGGTTGGCGCCCCCCCCCCCCTTGGTTTGTGCTGTGGTGGAGACCTCTGTGGGCTATACTCGGCCTTGTCTCAGGATTGTAAGTTGGTGGTTGGGGATATCCCTCTAGTGGTGCGGGGGCTGTGCTTTGGCGGAGTGGGTGGGGTTATATCCTTCCTGTTTGGCCCTGTCCGGGGGTTTCTTCGGATGGGGCCACAGTGTCTCCGGACCGCTCCTGTCTCAGCCTCCAGTATTTATGCTGCAGTAGTTTATGTGTCGGGGGGCTGGGGTTAGTTGGTTATACCTGGAGTACTTCTCCTGTCTTATCCAGTGTCCTGTGTGAATTTAAGTATGCTCTCTCTAATTCTCTCGTTCTCTCTTTCTCTCTGAGAACCTGAGCCCTAGGACCATACGTCAGGACTACCGGGCATGATGACACCCTGCTGCCCCCAGTCCGCCTGGCCTTGCTGCTATTCCAGTTTCAACTGTTCTGCCTGCGGCTACGAAACCCCTACCTGTCCCAGACCTGCTGTTTTCAACTCTAAATGATCGGCTATGAAAAGCCAACTGAGAGACCTGAGCCCTAGGACCATACGTCGGGACTACCGGCCGTGGTGACTCCTTGCTATCCCCAGTCCGCCTGGCCTTGCTGCTATTCCAGTTTAAACTGTTCTGCCTGCGGTTATGGAACCCCTACCTGTCCCAGACCTGCTGTTTTAAACTCTAATGATCGGCTATGAAAAGCCAACTGAGATTTATTCCTGATTATTATTTGACCATGCTTGTCACTTATGAACATTTTTGAACATCTTGGCATGGTTCTGTTATAATCTCCACCCGGCACAGCCAGAAGAGGACTGGCCACCCCTCATAGCCTGGTTCCTCTCTAGGTTTCTTCCTAGGTTTTGCCTTTCTAGGGAGTTTTTCCTAGCCACCGTGCTTCTACACCTGCATTACTAGCTGTTTGGGGTTTTAGGCTGGGTTTCTGTACAGCACTTCGAGATATTAGCTGATGTAAGAAGGGCTATATAAAATAAAATTGATTGATTGATTGATTGATTGAGTTGCAGCGGTCAGTGAAAAGCAGTTAAATAGGCCTATCACAATATTTCAAAATACAATCGTAGGAAACATAGTTTAGAAAGCAAATGGCTTTTGCTGAAAAGACAAAACAAGGAAAAGACTCTAATCTGTCTCTAGTTATCAAAATGTTGAACTTCCAATTGAGAGAACAGTAGTCTGTCTTATAGGCACTTATAGGGACAATTTCCTCCTCCAGGCTAGATGGATGCCAGTATGAATATGTATGCACTCACTAACTGTAAGTCGCTCAGGATAAGATCGTCTCCTAAATGACTAAAATGTAAAAATGTAATGGATGTCAATTTGTGTCTCCCCTTTTTGTAAGCCTGGATTAGATAGTTGCATTCAAGACACGGTCGTTTTTACTGATCTGTTTGTCAGTGTCAGCAGAGTAGGCTACCAATTTGAGTCATATTAAAAAAGATTTTGCTTATGTGTCCAGTCATATAAAGTGTATGTTGGAATGTTATGATTGGGGTATTGGTTATATCCATGTTGGAGTGTTATTATTGGGGTCTTGGTTATATCTATGTTGGAATGTTATGATTGGGGTCTTGGTTATATCTATGTTGGAATGTTATGATTGGGGTCTTGGTTATATCTATGTTGGAATGTTATGATTGGGGTCTTAGTTATATCCATGTTGGAGTGTTATGATTGGGGTCTTGGTCATATCTATGTTGGAATGTTATGATTGGGGTTTTGGTTATATCTATGTTGGAATGTTATGATTGGGGTCTTGGTTATATCTATGTTGGAATGTTATGATTGGGGTCTTGGTTATATCTATGTTGGAATGTTATGATTGGGGTATTGGTTATATCTATGTTGGAATGTTATGAATGGGGTCTTGGTTATATCCATGTTGGAATGTTATGATTGGGGTCTTGGTTATATCTATGTTGGAATGTTATGATAGGGGTCTTGGTCATATCTATGTTAGAATATTTGTTTCTATACAATTATCCATGGGGATAACAAAGGGATTATGATAAAACTTGTGAAAGCGATCTCAAGCATACTGTATAGCATAGGTTATGTTTAGACCTTATGTGTGTGTGTGTGTGTGTGTGTGTGTGTGTGTGTGTGTGTGTGTGTGTGTGTGTGTGTGTGTGTGTGTGTGTGTGTGTGTGTGTGTGTGTGTGTGTGTGTGTGTGTGTGTGTGTGTGTGTGAGACAAAACTTCTGAACATTGAGGGCATTTTCATAACCACCGCATCTTATTATCTCTCTCTAAAAAAGATTTCACACATTGAGTTCTGGTTCAAAATGTACATTCATTTTTTTTATTGTTTGATAACGTCTACAAATTCACATAAGGGTTTTGGTGATCCATCTGGAAGGAATAGCCTAGGTAATGTCAGACACAACACCTTGACAAGAAGAGAGCTCTATAGAGACAGCGATGCTTGCCTATTATTTATCTCAAATTTATTTGCCAAATTTCCATGTCTCTGATGTTATGCACATAAGTTATTATAGCAACACATTAATAATTTACCAAATTAATAATTTATCAAAACCACTTTCCAGATTCTATAAACTCCAGAAGCGCACATCAATCACCTCAAGGTGAGGATTTACTTTTACAACAATAAAGTTTGTAATCCCTGAATTACTTACTACCTTGACCATCAACGCTGTCGCTGATTCTCATCTCTTGGTCCCGGTCCATGTTAAAAGGGTCGTCCTGACTCGGTTTTTTGGATAGATTCGCATGAGGAGGGCACCCGCCGTTCCGTACAGCCGAAGGATCCACGATTGTGGGATCCGGGACGGGGAATGAATCTTGTGTCATTGGGTCAGCCATGGTTGATTACTTATAAGCCAAAAGTCCTCGGGGAAAAAATGCCAAATGCAGCCATCCAGGGCGCGAATGCCGCTGGTGTTGACAGGACGAAGTGGAGACCGCGATGACTAGATCAGAGATTAACGCAATCTCCACAGCATCAGCAACAACAGACCCCCACGGCCACACCCTCCCTCTCCACTCTCTCTGACGACGAGAATTCGCACGAAAGAGGGAACTGCAGTGATCAGATTTATAAATCAAGGTTAATTTGCTCAGATTCATAAATGGGTTTATTTGCTTGACTTTTGTAATATAGAGCTGATTATTATCAACACGCACTTGCTATGAAGACATAAGGCTGCCATTTGATGCTCTTTTGTCGACATTTGACGCGGCAACTTTTCTACCCCTCCCTCGAAATCCTTGCACCGCACGCAACATTGCGTAGAATGCAAGAACCTCGCTCGAAAACACCCAACTGTCAATACATTCCTGGATTTCGATTCCATAAACTATTTATTTCATTTCTTTCTGTAAAACAATAGTATGATATGTTATGTTTGATATGGTTACATAAGACAGAAGGTTACTTATGCCAAGGTCAGGGAGTATGGGTCTGCATATAACACCAATGTCTAGCAACCCAAAGGTTGCATGTTTGAATCACGTCATGGACAACTTTAGAATTTTAACTAATTATCAATTTTGCAACTATTTACTACTTTTTAGCTACTTTGCAACTAAATTACTTAGCATGTTAGCTAAAACTCTTCCCCTAACCTTAAATCCTAACCCTAAATCCTAACCTTAACCCCAAACCTTAACCCCAAATCATAGCCTATCTAACTGACGTTAGCCACCTAGCTAACGTTAGCCACAACAAATTGGAATTCGTAAAGTATCATAGGTATTGCAAATTCGTAACATATTGTATCAATTGCAATTTGCAACATATCATATAAATTGTCATTCCTAACATATCATATGAAATGGATGATGGACATCCACAAATGAATACATACCATACAAAACATAACATGTCACACTAAATGGAAATGGAGGGAGACAGATTTACCTTTACTAAGTTACATCTACTCCTGAGTCTACTCAGATCCTCAAAAAGTTATTCAGCTGCACCATCGAGAGCATCCTGACTGGTTGCATCACCGCCTGTATGGCAACTGCTCGGCCTCCGACCGCATAGGGTAGTGCGTACAGCCCAGTACATCACTGGGGCCAAGCTTCCTGCCATCCAGGACCTCTATACCAGGCAGTGTCAGAGGAAGGCCCTCAAAATTGTCAAAGACTCCAGCCACCCTAGTCATAGACTGTTCTCTCTGCTACCGCACAGCAAGCGGTACCGGAGCACCAAGTCTAGGTCCAAAAGGCTTCTCAACAGCTTCTACCCCCAAGCCATACGACTCCTGAACAGCTAATCATGGCTACCCAGACTATTTGCACTGCCCCACCTACACCCCATATTTTTACGCTGCTGCTACTCTGTTAATTATTTATGCATAGTCACTTTAACTCTACCCACATGTACATATTACTTCAACTACCTCAACTAGCCAGTGCCCCCGGACATTGACTCTGCACCGGTACCCCCCTGTATATAGCCTCCCTACTGTTATTTTATTTTACTTCTGCTCTTTTTTTCTCAACACTTTTTTGTTGTTGTTGTTTTATTTTACTTTTTTATTAAAAAAGAAATGCATTGTTGGTTAAGGGCTGTAAGTAAGCATTTCACGGTAATGTCTACACCTGTTGTATTCGGCGCATGTGGCAAATAACATTTGATTTAATTTGATTTTAGTCCAGGTTGCAGACGTTTATCTGGTCCTAAGATTAATACCGCAGGTCTAACTTCAATAAGGGATGGAATGGAATGGGATTTGTTCAGCAATTTTATTCAATGAGTCCACAAGTTGTCGCAAAATGCACAGGGCAGAACACATAATGCCTCTGATGCATCCATGTTGTTTAATTACACTGTTATAAACATGTCTGTATAATAAACTAGCATACTCTCTCTGGTTCAACCCACCAACCCAAAAAATAGGTTTCGTTTTTCCAACATATAGGCTATTCAATAGCCTAACTTATCTTACCATTTTTGATACTACTGCATGTGCCTGGAATACATTGGATCCAAAACTGGGCTCATAGTATAACCTGCTGATGATTCAGCATGTTCTTGTAATGCAGGACCTCATGTAGATAGCCTATAGCACAACAGATGCTGCATTTGGGAGAATGGGTGGTTCATCAAAACCCTTTGTGTCCCGAGTGCACAGTTGAACTATTAGTCAATAAGTATTTATGACCCACTGATAATAAAACCTGATTGAAGGATAACCTACATGAAAAGGAAAGTGAACAGACATTCCCCTCTTCTCGATGTATTGGACCTTTTTGTCCAGCCCCAGTAATTTTTTTGGGCTGTGTGTAAAACCCTGTCCATCCATAGCTTAGATGTGCCCTGTCTGTGGGTCTAGGGGCAGACTGGCCCTAGACCCATTTGCCCGAAATGCCAGATATCCTGGTCCATTTTTAGCCCAGTGGGCCTCTCTGACTTGTTGTTATTTTTGTGCAAAATTATAATTATCTGGCTAATAATGGGGGCCTCAAGGAAAAAATGGGCCGGTGTGTTAGAAATGCAGATTCCGGGTCCCAGTCCGCCCATGTCTCTGGCACAGTGGCTGTGAGAAGAGTCTATGCCCTGTCAGTCATTCACCTGCTTTTCATTGGGCTGTTAGGGGGCAGGGCAGTAGGGCGGAGAGTAACCTTGCTCAATGCTCACGTTAGACACCATTTACTACCTGCCTCATATTAGGCGAATTGTATGAAAAACACTTGTCATAGAAGATTAATCAGGATGAAGATTGATATTCATAATCACATTTTACCCAAGGAATGGCCCAATCTGAAAGAGGTAGGTTATGTGATACCATACTACTTTACAAAATGCATTGACAACTTAAAAAAATAAATAATAATTTCAATAGAAAGGATGTAATCTATCAGGCTACTTCTCATACCCGGTACATGGTGCATCATTAATAGTCTACCTGACGTTGAATAATGTCATTACGCACATTCGCGCACATTGCGGAATACGCTCACCGCTTGGCACTGCACAGGCTGTGTTGGATCTAGGAGTTGTATCTTGTCTCAATCAATACATCTGGTTATCTAATTGTGTTTTTTTTTACTGAGTCCTCACATCTGACAAAAAATGTGTTATTAGTTTTAGAGCAAAATCATAAAGGCCAATGACACCCACCACACATTGCTAAAAAATAAACAGAAACAACTTATTTTAGCATAATAAACTCAAATGAATGAAGTAACATGTTATTTCTGTGTTTGTCAGAATACGAAAGTCCTTGATGAAGACTGTTCATTTGAAACTAACAAGAATATCATCGAGAACTGAAGAAATTGTTGTATATTTTGTATGCAGCCAGTGAGGAAATCCTGTGAAAAGTTTTACAACCCCTATTAAATCTCTGCACTGACTTGTTAAACATTACTAAATGCTTGGCAGTGACCCAGTCCTTTAAAGATTGTCTTTCTGTCAATAGGCCTGACCTTAGCTAACGATTGTTCATTGGTGCGTCCCAAATGGCACTATGTTCTCTACATTCACTACTTTTGGCGGCTTGTGGGAATCATGGTCAAAATCAAAAGTAGTGCCCTATATAGGGAGTCATTTGGAGTGAAACCCTTTTTTTTTTTTTTCCTGGGAGAAATTGTCATTTGTGGGGGTGAGAAGGCCACAGTGGGCAACAGGAGTGAGTCAGGACAGAGGCCCGGTCACCCTGATAGTCAGCATGACTCCAATTGCATCATATTGATTTAGAGTTCAAGACCCATGCCACTCCTACATTAACAAACAACAGCATTTTAGTCATTTATATTTTAGTCCAAATATCCGAAACTTTGAACATCCCACGGAGCACCATTAAATCCATTATAAAAAAATTGAAAGAATATGGCACCACAACAAACCTGCCAAGAGAGGGCCGCCCACCAAAACTCATGGACCAGGCAAGGAGGGCATTTATCAGAGAGGCAACAAAGAGACCAAAGATAACCCTGAAGGAGCTACAAAGCTCCACAGCGGAGATTGGAGTATCTGTCCATAGGACCACGTTAAGCTGTACACTCCACAGAGCTGAGCTTTACGGAAGAGTGGCCAGAAAAAAAGCCATTGTTTAAAGACAAAAATAAGCAAACACGTTTGGTGTTCGCCAAAAGGCATGTGGGAGACTCCCCAAACATATGAAAGAAGGTACTCTGGTCAGATGAGATTAAAATAGAGCTTTTTGGCCATCAAGGAAAACACTATGTCTGGCCCAACACCTCTCATCACCCCGAGAACACCATCCCCATGAGCATGGTGGTGGCAGCATCATGCTGTGGGGATGTTTTTCGTCGGCAGGGACTGGGAAACTGGTCAGAAGTGAAGGAATGATGGATGGCGCTAAATACAGGGAAATTCTTGAGGGAAACCTGTTTCAGTCTTCCAGAGATCTGAGACTGGGACAGAGGTTCACCTTCCAGCAGGACAATTACCCTAAGCATACTGCTAAAGCAACACTTGAGTGGTTTAAGGGGAAACATTTAAATGTCTTGGAATTGCCTAGTCAAAGCCCAGACCTCAATCCAATTGAGAATCTGTGGTATGACTTAAAGATTGCTGTACACCAGCGGAACCCATCCAACTTGAAGTAGCTGGAGCAGTTTTGCCTTGAAGAATGGGCAAAAATCCCAGTGGCTAGATGTGCCAAGCTTATAGAGACATACCCCAAGAGACTTGCAGCTGTAATTGCTGCAAAAGATGGCTCTACAAAGTATTGACTTTGGGGGGGTGAATAGTTATGCACGCTCAAGTTTTCTGTTTTTTTTTCTTATTTCTTGTTTGTTTCACAAGAAAACACATTTTGCATCTTCAAAGTGGTAGGCATGTTGTGTAAATGAAATTATACAACCCCCCCCCAAAAAAAAAATTCAATTCCAGGTTGTAAGGCAACAAAATAGGAAAAATGCCAAGGGGGGTGAATACTTTCGCAAGCCACTGTACATACAGTGAAGGTATCTTCAGTCTAAATTGAGGAGGATGTTGATCCTATGGGATGGATATTATTACTCATTTTGGGCTGTTTCAGGGTTAATCCGTATGCATATCACTGGAGCGAAATAGGATGGTTTTGATTGCGTTCCGATCCTGCTCTTTCTCTCTCTGTTCCCAGTTGTGGTGAAAGTGGTTCGTAGGCTATTTATCCCAAATAAAATGACTTATGACATTGGCTGGTCCGTTTTTATCTCTGCAGGCCTACTTTGCATACGAGCAGAATCCCAAGGTGCATAATGACAAGTAATGAAAGTTGTAGCTTTCGATACCTGGGTGCCATGAGATATGACTTTGTGAATGTATTAAAATAATTTCAGGAAATTCAAAATGTCCTATGCTTAGCAAAACACTTAATGATGCATTATCATGAGGGCACTCTAATGAAAGTTTTGTTTGTTTTTTAGAGATATGGATATGATGGATTTATCCAGCTTCACCATCACTGCAAGGTGAGTCTCAAGTTAGGTTATTCAACAGTACAGTACAATATTTGAATGTTAAAGCATATTTTTTCTGTCACCTTTCCATATACTTTTAAAATATGCATATTCTACAGTATAATGGAAATGAAATGTTTTACTTGATGCATAATTTATTACAGACTTCCGCAACAGAGTTCACGTTATACAGCATACAGCTTATTTAGTCCATGTATCAAGCATACAGCAAGCATACAGCCTATTTAGTCCATGTATCAAGCATACAGCAAGCATACAGCCTATTTAGTCCATGTATCAAGCATACAGCTTATTTAGTCCATGTATCAAGCATACAGCCTATTTAGTCCATGTATCAAGCATACAGCTTATTTAGTCCATGTATCAAGCATACAGCAAGCATACAGCCTATTTAGTCCATGTATCAAGCATACAGCTTATTTAGTCCATGTATCAAGCATACAGCCTATTTAGTCCATGTATCAAGCATACAGCATGCATACAGCCTATTTAGTCCATGTATCAAGCATACAGCTTATTTAGTCCATGTATCAAGCATACAGCCTATTTAGTCCATGTATCAAGCATACAGCTTATTTAGTCCATGTATCAAGCATACAGCTTATTTAGTCCATGTATCAAGCATACAGTTTATTTAGTCCATGTATCAGCAAGCTTTCCAAGTTTAATCGACCTGTAGTGTACTTGCTATTTGTATATGTGGTGTACATTGTTTTCACTGCATTGAGACATGATCTAACTCCTTGTTATAAGAGCTTGCCTGCCCATGCTCCATGAGATGTGAAAATGCCACATACAGCAGTTACCTTGACCTGCAATGCTACTACACAGGCAGTGCTGGTCCTGGCCATTCTGCTGCCCTAGGCCAGACAAAGAAATTGGCGCCCCTACTAGAATAGTCCCAGTAAGCAAAATGACATTGAAAAGACGTCTAAAATATGAATTTTTCCAGACGTTGAAGTTAGGTTCAATATAGGTTCTGAATGAAAGGTGAAAAGACGTATTTTCCAGATGTTGAAATCAGGTTAATTTTCGGTGCTGAATTAAAGTTGAAAATACGTCATTTATAGACGTCTATGTTTGGGACAAATCAAGGCTGGTCCAGACCGGACAAAATCTGAACCAAACATAGACGGCTATGATTGATTCAGATTTGGTCCGGATCAGACCGAAAACCAACGTCCGTGGACGTGGAAATCAAGGCCGTCCGGACTGCAAACAAAAAAAGATGTCCAGAATGCGTCAGCCCGTGCTTACTGAGGTATAGCCTACAGCGTCGCCTGAAATTGAATTTTAGGAATGCCCATCTGTGGTAGGCCTACCATCTATAAAACACAAATAAAAGACTGTCGGTCCAAAGACGTCCAAAAGACGTTGGCCCGTGCTTGCTGGGGTGTAGCCTACCATGTTGGCCGGCAATGGAATTTTATGAATGCCCATCCATGTGGTAGGCCCACCGTTTGTAAAACAGACCGTTGCATTGGCTTTACTAGTCCTGATAACTGTGACTAATCGATTTGGCTATTTAAGCTCTGAATATCAGCTACCCAACTTCATCAGGAGCAGTTATCCTGAGCCTATTTGCAATTTGCTTATACAGCAGGAAATGCAGAAGTATTTTCTTTTTCGCTATGGTCAGCTCGTAAAAAATTGAAGGATACAAACTTGAAACTCCAGGACAGCAGTTGAGTAGCCTGATTGTCCATTCCACATTGTCCATTTTACTTTGACCTGTCCTGTTTTTAGGATATGTTGTTTGTCAGCACATTTTTTATTTGATTGGGCACCATTTAGGTTAGGCTATTTGATCGGAGAAACCTGCATGATGTAAAAAGTTAAAGTTTCACCAGCCTGTAGGCTACAGAGAAGGCCACATACTCTTTCTACCAGATGCTATATCTGCTACATGATTTATGTTAGAAGATTTTTTTGACTGAATGTTATTAGAGCGCTGCAGCGATACCTCTCTCTAAAAGCACCCTGGAGAGGCGCGCTGAGAATGGACAAGATAAATATTTTGCATCCCTGCCTTTGACAAAGTGGGCAGTGCTTATCACAGGGCGGCATCAACGCTCACCTAAAACCCCCATATGCCACTGGCTGAGAGAAATTGTCATTGTTTGGGGCAGAATTGTTTGAGGTTTTATGTGTCTTGCCACCCTCATCAATCTGAGGCCGTAGGTGGCCGCTTAATCCTGCCTAATGAGCGGGCCGGCCCTGTACTCAGGCTCTCCTGGGCTCTCTCCAAGATCTCATTCACACAAAGCTAGTCTAGTGTTGCCATACCTCCAAAATCACATCGTTGTCAAGCCTCGAAGCCTGGCTCTCGACAAGCAAACACAAAGCCAACCCTCCCTCTTGGCGCCACCTATGGGTAGTGAGCGGGCAGCACAGGAAGAGTTCCTACAGACACTGGCACCCATTGGGTCCAGCAACACACCTGTGTGTGACTATGGCTGTGTTTACTCATGCATCCCAATTCAGATATTTTTACACTAATTGGTCCAAATGACCAATCACATCAGATCTTTTCACATCAGATCTTTTTCAGAGCTGATCTGATTGATCAAATGATCAATTAGGGGAAAAAATATCAGAACTGGGCTGCCTGTAAACGCAGCTTATATGTATGTGTGCTTACATGTACTTTCTTACGTGTGTGTGTGTGTGTGTGTGTGTGTGTGTGTCAGGGTCGGGGCACAGCAGGGTCTGCCTGGGCTTGCTGTGGGAGCATCTATAGAACACAGCATGTTGTAGTAGGTACTGTCTCAGCAGAACAGGCCACATCGGGCCGGGACAGAATACAGTGGACCTAGACAGCTGCTTAGGAAACCAAAAAAGTATTGGCATCAGCCACTGTACGCAATGCAGGCACATATGCTTGCTCACACGCAATGCACATGCACACATACACCTCTGACACCTGAATGTAAAGTAACAGCCAATGAGACATTTTCAACTCCCTCTCTAGTTCCCAGATGTTTCTCTTTGCTGCCACCAGGTGGCTGATTACACATAGGTCATACGCATTTCAATTCCACATCCGTTTGAGTGATTTGCTTCTTATTATGACATAGAAGTGTTCTTGCTCATCAAACAGAAACTGTAGGCATGAAGCAATGAAGACAATGGAAGGCATAGAAACCAAAATAAGGAAATATCAGGTGTCCTTCACTCTCTGGAGTTTTGTGCCAATCCATATTTTAGGGGGAAGCAAAAATGATGAAAGACGGGAAGTTGTTCCGTGTGATCCAGGAGAACTGTTGGGATGCAGACGCAAGGATTCGGGACATGGATGCACACGGTATAGACACACATATCCAATATCATCCTCTCGTCAAAATCCTCTTGACACCATATTTTGAAGCCGACCGAGTGATTCATGTTGCCTGTAAAGTAAGTCTGTATTGGAATGTTGTGGGTTTTGATGATGATGATGATGACGTTCTACTTTAGGCGTGACGGTCCAAGCCTTGTCCACAGTGCCTGTCATGTTCAACTACTGGGTAAGTCTGTCTGCAAGGGGCGAAAATAAACTGCAGATTTTAGTTAAAGGTGCTTCACATAGGATATTCTTTAATTTTTGCATTGTAATTTCAGAAAATGTCCATAATATATCTGGCGCTAATTGTGGAATGATAGTGTTTCACAGTATTATGCCATGTTCACAACAACTGTGATCTCGGAACTGGGAACTCGGAAATCCCCGACTTCTGACCTCAGTGCATTCAAAACAACTGGGAAAAATCTTTTTGAACGGTCATCCAACTCGGAATTCCAACTCGGGAACTCGGGCCTCTTTCTAGAGCTCCGACTTTCTGACCTGAAGATCACTGACATCATGATTTGACCTCCTATTTTTTTGAGTTCCCAGTTGTTTTGAACGGCATTACTTACCCGCCAGTGTTGTGATTGGCTGTGATATTAACCTATTGATTTCTCCCGCAAGAGCGGCATCTGTTGTCAAACTGGGAAAGCTGTTCTGGCTTTGTGGCTGTGATATCTAGTGGACATCACTCATTCCCTGGTTGCTACAATTCTACACTGTTCGCTCAATTTCAGTTTATGTGAGAAAACAAGCACTGAATATTGTAGGGAATCATTGTACCAAAAAATATAGTTTTCTCAGCTGTTTGAAGCTGGTGGACCAAAAAGGCTTTTTGAAGCTTTCGGTTTTGGTCCACCAGCTTCAAACAGCTGTAAAAACTATATTTTTTGTTATTTAAAGATATTTCACCACGATTTAGATGGTACAATGATTCTCTACACTATTCAGTGCTTGTTTTCTCACCAACCTGGTCTCAGAGCATTTAGTATTATTCTGTACGTAAATCCGGGACACTCCATTAGTATGATATGTTACGTTTGGTATGGTTACATAGGTTGGGGTGGACGGGTGGGCGTATAATGCGAACGTTAGCAACCCAAAGGTTATGAGGTCAAATATCATCATGGACAACTTTAGCATTTGAGCTAATTAGAAACTTTTGAACTACTTACTACTTTTTAGCTACATTGCAACTACGTAGCATGTTAGCTAACCCTTCCCCTAACCCTAACTTTAACCCTTTAACTAACCCTTCACCTAGCCCTAACCTTAACCCTTTTAGCTAACTCTTCCCCTAATGCTAAACTTAACCATTTAACCTAACTCCTAAACTTAACCCTAACCTTAACCCTAACCCCTAGCCTAGCTAACGTTAGCGAGCTATCTAACGTTAGCCACCTAGCTAGAATTTGTAACATATCATACGTTTTGCAAATTCGTAACATATTGTATGTTTTGCAAATTCGTAACATATTGTACATTTTGCAACTTCGTAACATATTGTACATTTTGAAAGATTTTAACATATAATACGAATTGTAATTCGTAACTTATCATACGAAATGGGTGATGGACATCCACAAATTAATACATACCATACGAAACCTAACATATTATACTAATTGGATCATCTCGGATTTACATACAGAATAATACGAAATGCTCTGAGACCAGGTTGCAACCACACACTAAAATTGAATGAACAGTGTAGAATTTTAGTAACCAGGAAACAACAGTGCGATTTCCACTAGACAACACAGCCACAAAGTCAGAACCGCTTTCACATATTGACAACAGATGCTGCGCTGGCGAGAGAAATCAACAGGCGAATATCACAGCCAATCATAAACACTGACAGGTAAGTAATACTGTGAAACACTATCATTCCACTATTAGCGGCAGATATATTATGATTTTTACATTTCTTATTACAATGCAAAAGTTCAAAAAAATTCCTCTGTGTTGCACCTTTAAAATGTTGCCTCAGTGTGTGTCAACTCCTATCCCAGCTGACTTTTACTCGCTGACAATTCCCTCATGTTTGTTTTTACATCACTTCTCCTTTTTCTAAGACTTTGATGTGCTTACTTCACTGTAAATATAGCTGCCAATACATTACTAAGGCTTTGGTTGTGTTGGGTTCACTTCCCTGTTGTGACAGGCCAAACCCCATGACACCCTGGACCTGTGTGAGATCCTGAATGACGACCTGGCTAAGACAGTGGCGCTCCACCCCCGGCGCTTCGTGGGGCTGGGTACCCTGCCCATGCAGGCTCCTGACCTGGCTGTGCTGGAGATGAAGCGCTGTGTGAGGGAGCTGGGCTTCCCTGGGGTCCAGATCGGCTCCCACATTAACACCTGGGAACTCAACGCCCCTGAACTCTACCCAATCTATGCTGTAAGAGCCATATAAGTGAATTGATTTATTTATATGGACAGCCATCTTCCTAGTGATAGCAGCTATAGTGTTACAAAACTAGTTAGAAACCCTACTGAAAATCATACTCTGGCTCTGTCTAGACTAAACCTAAGCTAGGCCACTACTATCTGATCCACAACCTATGGACTACAGAGACATTTGATGTTCGAGTATCAATTCATCATGACTGTGTAATGATGTAGATTATGAAAAGTGAGTGATGTTCCCTCTTTTCTATAGGCTGCTGAGGAACTGAACTGTTCCTTGTTTGTACACCCATGGGACATGCAGATCGATGGGAGGATGGCCAAGTACTGGCTACCCTGGTTAGTGGGTGAGTGAGATGGTAAAGACTCAGCTCTGTTCTGATCAATCAAATGCTTGTGTCTCAGCTTGCCTGGATGACGTTATCACAAATGAGTAAACATTCTTTTTTTTTGTACAGGTATGCCATCAGAGACTACCATGGCCATTTGCTCGATGATCTTCGGAGGTGTCTTTGAGAGATTTCCCAAGTTGAAGGTCTGCTTTGCTCATGGAGGTAATTCACAATAAAGAGGAACAAATAATGAGATTCAGTAAACAGTAGAAGTGTGAGCTAGGAGAATCCAAAAATCACCATTCCAAGATTGACTTGTGAAGCAACGTTTTTTCCCTAGGGGGTTCTTTCCCATTCACTATTGGCCGAATTGAACATGGGTTCCAGGTCCGACCTGACCTCTGTGCTGTGGATAACAAGGCCAACCCACGGAAATACCTGGGCTCCTTCTACACTGACTCCTTAGTGCATGACCCCATCGCCCTCAAGCTACTTATTGATGTGATCGGAAAGGTATGCAGTAGTGTCTAATTTCTAAATGGCAACTGATGTAGAAAAATTATAGTTCTCATTAGTAAGTAGTTTAAAAGGCTTGAAGGTTTGATGTTTGTAGAGTTTACACAAGTGTTTATTACTGTCTCAGTTCATCATATTTTTCTCCCATAGGATAAGGTGATGTTAGGAACAGACTATCCATTCCCACTGGGTGAGCTGCAGCCAGGAGCATTAATAGAGTCCATGAAGGAGTTTGATGGTGGTTTAAAGGTAAGGTAACCCACCGAATGTGCTTTCTTTCCCTTGCAAAAAGTGTCTGTAATAAAAAAATAAGAGCAGGACGTGATGGTTTATGAATTTTTATTTGTGTTTGCTTTTCCTTTTCAGGACAAACTGCTTGCAGGCAATGCACTGAACTTTTTGGGGATTAAAAGAGAACAATTTCAATGATTTATAGCATGAAGATATTGTCAAAATAAAAAGGGGAAACAATGTTTGACTTTCAAATTATTGGCAGGACCGTAATACAGATACAACCTAATGCGTGACCAAAATGTAAATATTTAATTTATCTATTTAGCTCATTTATAATGATTTTTGTTTACACTGTTGGAAGTCATCTGTGGTCAACACTCTTTTTGCTGTTTATGACTAAATAAAATGGAATGTTCATTTCAAATGAGAGCAATATTTACTCAAAGGAAATAGAAACTATAAAAGGTTCAGAAAAAGTGTATGCTTGCTTCAGTTTATAGCCTACACTCTAAAAATGAGGGGTTCAACAAGGGTTCTTCTAAGATCCTCAAAGTTATTTTAAGAACCTTAGGGTTCTTGGCACTGAAATTTGTCCCCAAAAGGTTCTTCCAAGAACCCCATAGGAGGTGGGGTTCATCGAGGAACCTCATTAGTTGGTGGGGGTTCTTGCAGGAACCTAACTGCCCAACTGAAACATTTGGATTTGAATTTGAAATGACAGCAGGTGCAGGCACTTAACTGAATAATGTAAAGATCTCCACAATTGAAGGTAAGGTTTGTCCCTTGTATGATCTAAATTGATATTGTTTTATGATGATACCATCTATCTTTTCATATTTGTGCACATTTTTCTAAAACAGAAAATGGACACAATTCAATGACAATCAACAAAGAGGTAAGAATATGTATTCTATAAGAATATGTTGAAGGCTAGCTGTATTGGGTGCAGGTGACTGAACTGCTCACTTTTGTGTATGTGTCTGCAGGTTTACAAACGAGGAGGCATAAAAAGGTATGTCAATTGGTATGTTATGCAGATCACATGTACAATCCTCCTCCCTTAACTCTTCAAGGAAAATCCCATAGGCCTCTACATTATGGACAAGGTATGTGAATGAAAACCATTCTCAAACCAGTTTTATTCATCCACATTTACCACAAAAGCCAAGGTATGAATACTGTCATGTGCATGTTTTGTTAATCACCCTCCCTACACCTCTGATGAATATAACAGGAAACCTGTTCGATCACCATGCACTGCAAAACCATTCTGGCTATGGATACGGAGAACATCAACATGCCAGAGGATATACCCATTGGACTTTGGGCTCTGCTGGGAGTTTACCTTATATTTTGATTATTTTATTCTGCTTTGCCGCTAAAATCCTAATAAACACTGACAACTAAAATATTGTGTTATTGCTGTTATTGTTAAGGTTATTACTACTACTACTAATAATAGGGGAGGGGGGAGTAGTTCAAAAATTAACCCCAAAAGGTTATTCAAAAGGTTATTTGAGGATCTGTTGAAAGGGGTTCTTTGAAGAACCCTTTTAAAGAGTTATTCAAAGAACTTATAGGGGTTCCCCCACAATTTCAATTTGAAGAACCCCTAAAGGATCCTCCAGGAACCTTTACTTTTTAGAGTGTACTATAAATTATTGTCTAGTTGTCTTAGCTAGCCTAAATCTATCTACTTCATATAATTTGTCTAGATTATGGGTCTCCAATCTACTAAAAGTAGGGAACAGTTTACATTTCCCTGTTGAAATGTTCTTCAGTGCGTGATCGCATTGATCAGCAGTCACGTTCTTCAAGCTTGATATGGCCTATTTGCCATGCTCCTTTTCTAGTAAACACCACTCCTGTAAAAAATTAAATATATACATTTAGTACTTTTGCAATGTAGCCCAATGAAAGCTAACAATTTCTAAAAACATCAGCCACAAATTTTCAGTCAATTAAGTTCATTCAAATTCAAACAAACAGCTGTACCAGCCAGCAGGTAAGAGAGGGTTTTGACTAGATGGGATACAGCTTTTGTCAGATCAGACTTTTCATAGCAGGTTAGGAGAATTGACACAGCAGGTAAGGATAATTAACATAGCAGGTTAGGAGAATTGGGCTAAGGTTAGGAAAAGGATTAGGGTTAGCTAAAAACGTTTTACGTAAATTTTCTGTACAGATTCCACAGCCACAAAGTCAAAATTGACTATTTGATTTTAATTTCAAGGAAAATTCCACCCAAAAACTATCTTTTGGTATTTGTTTCATTAGTCCATTGTTGACATAGTCCAAAATATGTTGCTTGTCAGCAATCAAGTTTTCATGATATGTATGCATCATGTGGAGATGAGTTCTGTATTTTGAAAGTTACAAAAGGTTAGCATCACGGGCGGCTGCTGAGGGGAGGACGGCTCATAATAATGCCTTGAATGGAGTGAATGGAATGGCATCAAACACATGGAAACCAGGTGTTTGATGTATTTGATACCATTCCACTAATTCCCTCCAGCCATTACGACGAGCCCGTTCCTCCCCAATTAAGGTGCCACCAAACTCCTGTGATACACTCTAAAAATTAGTGGTCCAACAAGGGTTCTTCTAAGATCCTAAAAGTTCCTTGAAGAACCTTAGGGTTCTTGGCTCTGAAAAATGCCCCCAAAAGGTTCTACCAAAAACCCCAAAGGAGGTGGGGTTCATCGAGGAACCTCCTTAGTTGGTGGGGGTTCTTGCAGGAACCTAACTGCCCAACTGAAACGTTTGAATTTGAGATGACAGCAGGTGCAGGCACTTAACTGAAAAATGTAAAGATCTCCTCAATCTAAGGTAAGGTTTCTCCCTTGTATGATCTAAATTGATATTGTTTTATGATGATACCATCTATCTTTTCATATTTGTACAAATGGCAGTGATGTTTGACACTTTCTCCCTTTAAATTTTTTTTATAAAACTGAAAATGGACACAATTCAATGGATATCAATCAACAAAGAGGTAAGAATATGTTAAAAGCTATAGCTACATTGGGTGCAGATGACTGAACTGATCACGTTTGTGTGTGTCTGAGTCTGCAGATATACTGACCAGGAGGCACACAAAGGTATGTACAATTGGTATTGGTATGTTGTGCAGATCACATGTATTATCTACAGTTAATTTTGGTTTCTCTAAAACCTTATAGGACTCAGCTGCCTCTTCAATGAAAATCCCAGAGGCCTCTACATTATGGACAAGGTATTTGTATAAAAAACCATTATCAAAAGTGAACTGATGTTTTTCATTCATATTTACCACAAAAACCAAGGTATGAAAGAAATGTGCCGAAAAAGGTTATTCAAAAGGTTATTTGAGGATCCATTAAAAGGGGTTCTTTGAAGAACCATTAATAAAGGGTTCTTTGAAGAACTTATAGAGGTTCCCCCACAGTTTCAATTTGAAGAACCCCTAAAGGATACTCCAGGAACCTTTTATTTTTTAGAGTGTACCAGTACCGAGTCGATGTGCAGGGGTACGAGGTAATTGAGGTAGATATGAACACTACCGGTCAAAAGTTTTAGAAGACCTACTCATTCAAGGGTTTTTCTTTATTTTTACTATTTTCTACATTGTAGAATAATAGTGAAGACATCAAAACTATGAAATAACACATAAGGAATCATGTAGTAAACAAAAACGTTTTAAACAAATCAAAATATATTTTATATTTGAGATTCTTCAAATAGCCACCCTTTGCCTTGATGACAGCTTTGCACACTTTTGGCATTCTCTCAACCAGCTTCACCTGGAATGCTTTTCCAACAGTCTTCAGGGAGTTCCCACATATGTTGAGCATTTGTTGGCTGCTTTTCCTTCACTCTGCGGTCTGATTAATCCCAAACATCTCAATTTGGTTGAGGCTGGGGGATTGTGGAGGCCGGGTCATCTGATGCAGCACTCCATCACTCTCCTTCTTGGTTAAATAGCCCTTACACAGCCTGGAGGTGTGTTGGGTCACTGTCCTGTTGAAAAACAAATGATAGTCCCATTAAGCCCAAACCAGATCGGATGGCGTATCGCTGCAGAATGCTGTGGTAGCCATGCTGATTAAGTGTGCCTTGAATTCTAAATAAATCACTGACAGTGTCACCAGCAAAGCCCCCCACAGCATAACGCCACCTCCTCCATGCTTTACAATGGGAAATAAAAATGTGGAGATCATCCGTTCACCCACACCGCGTCTCACAAAGACACAGCGGTTGGAACCAAAAATCAAAGGACAAATTTCCACTGGTCTAATGTCCATTGCTCGTGTTTCTTGGCCCAAGCAAGTCTCTTCTTCTTCTTATTGATATCCATTAGTAGTGGTTTCTTTGCAGCAAATCGACCATGAAGGCCTGATTAACACAGTCTCCTCTGAACAGTTGATGTTGAGATGTGTCTGTTACTTGAACTCTGTGAAGCATTTATTTGGGCTGCAATTTCTGAGGCTGGTAACTCTAATGAACATCCTCTGCAGCAGAGGTAACTCTGGGTCTTCCATTCCTGTGGCGGTCCTCATGAGAGCCAGTTTCATCATAGCGCTTGATGTTTTTTGCGACTGCACTTGAAGAAACGCTCAAAGTTCTTGAAATGTTCCGTATTGACTGACCTTCATTTACATTTACATTTTAGTCATTTAGCAGACGCTCTTATCCAGAGCGACTTACAGTTAGTGAGTGCATACATTTTCATACTGGCCCCCCGTGGGAAACGAACCCACAACCTTGGCGTTGCATGCGCCATGCTCTACCAACTGAGCTACAGGGGACTACTTCATGTCTTAAAGTAATGATGGACTGTCATTTCTCTGTGCTTATTTGAGCTGTTCTTGCCATAATATGGACTTGGTCTTTTACCAAATAGGGCTATCTTCTGTATACCACCCCTACCTTGTCACAACACAACTGATTGGCTCAAACACATTAAGAAGGAAAGAAAATCCACAAATTAACTTTTAAGAAGGCACACCTGTTAATTGAAATGCATTCCAGGTGACTACCTCACAAAGCTGGTTGAGATAATGTCAAGAGTGTGCAAAGCTGTCATCAAGGCAAAGGGTGGCTATTTGAAGAATCTCAAATATAAAATATATTTTGATTTGTTTAAAACTTTTTTGGTTACTACATGATTCCATATCTGTCATTTCATAGTTTTGATGTCTTCACTATTATTCTACAATGTATGAGTAGGAGTCCTAAAACTTTTGACCGGTAGTGTACATATAACTAGGAATAATGTGACAGATAGTAAAAAGTAGCAGCAGTGTATGTGATGAGTCAAAAAAAGTTAGCGCAAAAAGGGGTCAATGCAGATAGTCCAGGTAGCTATTTGGTTACCTATTTAGCAGTCTTATGGCTTGGGGGTAGAAGCTGTTCAGGGTCCTGTTGGTTCCAGACTTGGTGCATCGGTACTGCTTGCCGTGCGGTAGCAGAGAGAACTGTCTGTGACTCGGGTGGCTGGAGTCTTTGACAATTTGGGAAAAGGGGTGTTCTTAAAGAGGCAATCAGTAGTAGAAACAATAACCAAGGGCATCCCCGCCCCTTTTTCGGTAAAAAGCTGAGGGATGGGGCTGGAGAAATGTAACCACTCTTCATAGACATAGCTATGGATGCAAGGACTGACCATCCATAATATCAAAATTATATTTTTAACCATGTTTTGAGGCTATTTACATTTGCTTTGTTTACAAACATTTGAGTAAAACAAGCTTTTATTTTGGGTTATCATGGGGTAAGACAGTTGAACTAAGCTCATAAGGCATTTATGAGTTATATTCTTCAATAACCAATGGGTATATATCATTAATTTATAAGTACAAAAAGGGATGTGGCATCTACGGATTCTAGCTTTAATGCTGTAATATGTAACTTTTTTTGGGCGACCCACCAAATTCACATAGGACAATGAGTTATAGATCTATCATTCTCATTGAAAGCAAGTCTAAAAAGCGGTAGATCGGTTCTCTGCGCTATTTTTTTTGCTTCAAGTTCTTACATTTCTTTTACTTTCGGTTTGTACACCAGCTTCAAACAGCTGAAAATACAATATTCATGGTTATGGAAAATATATTTCACAGCGGTTTATATGGTACAATGATTCTCTACACTTGCTTGTTTAAACAAAAAAAAGGCAAACTATTTGAATTTTTGCAACCAGGAAATGGCGTAGCGATTTCTGTGCATTCTGTGAAGTTCACAATCCAGGCAAATGGTGGCGATAATGCACGACTAGTTGGTTTGGCCGTGACTAAAAACATATATCAAATAATATTTATTTTTTTGTGGTTTCCGGGACTTGCCGCTCATGGTTTCTGCGTACTTGCGTCCATCCGGTCCTCAGTGTCCTGTGCGAATGCTGTAGAGCAATGGCGGCGTGCCGGGTATCCTCGTCGAAATGGTTTTTCACCCGGGAGCAGCTCGAAGCCACGCCGTCCCGCCGTACGGGAGTGGAGCCGGATAGAGAGCTCTCTTACCGACAGCAGGCGGCAAACCTCATTCAAGATATGGGCCAGAGACTCAACGTGTATCCTTTATAAACAATCTAGCAATAATCATCATCAGACATGTCGAAGGAAGGAGTATAGACATGGTGCTTTGTAGGCCCGTTTTCCCAGTGTGCGGTGTCTTGTGTGGGGGCTGGGGGCACGCGCCAGACGCAGTTTATGTTACTATATATTGTCTTATCAAAACATTACAAATGTGCCAGTGGTCGCTTTAATGTATTCGGTGTTGTGTAGTAATGATACAGCCAAGTTTACTAGTTAGCAAACATAATCCATCATCAACATTCAACAACATAAAGGCCAGCTAGCAAGCTGTTAGCCTGTCAGTAGCTAGTTAGCTAACATTAGTTTACTAATCTTCCCTGCTAGTTCTAATTGAAATGTTAACTAGCTAACGTTGGTGTGTTTTTCGTTTTATGATCAATCTTCACATAGCCAAGTGACGGCTGCCCAGCATGCCTTTGCCAACGTTAGCTAGCAGTTTTAAGAAGAAGAAAAAAATAGATAAATAATTAAAGAGCAGCAGTAAAATAACAGTAGCGAGGCTATATACAGGGGGTACCGGTACAGAGTCAATGTGCGGGGGCACAGGTTAGTCGAGGTAATTGAGGTAATATGTATGTGTAGGTATAGTTAAAGTGACTATGCAAAGATAATAAACAGAGTAGCAGTAGCGTAAAAGAGGTGGTGGTGGGGGGGGGGGACAATTCAAATACTCCAGGTAACCATTTCATTAGCTGCTCAGGAGTCTTATGGCTTTGGGGTAGAAGCTGTTAAGAAGCCTTTTGGACCTAGACTTGGCGCTCCGGTACCGCTTGCGGTGCGGTAGTAGAGAGAACAGTCTATGACTAGGGTGACTGGAGTCTTTGAACATTTTTAGGGCCTTCCTCTGACACTGCCTAGTGTATAGGTCCTGGATGGCAGGAAGCTTGGCCCCAGTGATGTACTGGGCCGTACGCACTACCCTCTGTAGTGCCTTGGGTCAGAGGCCGAGCAGTTGCCATACCAGACGGTGATGTAACCGGTCAGGATGCTCTTGATGGTGCAGCTGTAGAACATTTTGAGGATCTGAGGACCCATGCCAAATCTTTTCAGTCTCCTGAGGGGGAATAGGCTTTGTCGTGCCCTCTTCATGACTGTCTTGGTGTGTTTGGACTATGATAGTTTGTTGGTGATGTGCTCACCAAGGAACTTGAAGCTCTCAACCTGCTCCACTACAGCCCCGTCGATGAAAATGGGGGCGTGCTCGGTCCTCTTTTTCCAGTATTCCACAATCATCTCCTTTGTCTTGATCACATTGAGGGAGAGGTTGTTATCCTGGCACCACACGGCCAGGTCTCTGACCACCTCCCTATAGGCTGTCTCATCGTTGTCGGTGATCAGGCCTACCACTGTTGTGTCGTCGGCAAACTTAATGATGGTGTTGGAGTCTTACCTGGCCATGCAGTCGTGGGTGAACAGGGAGTACAGGAGGGGACTGAGCAAGCACCCCTGAGGGACCCCCGTGTTGAGGATCAGCGTGGCAGATGTGTTGTTATCTACCCTTACCACCTGGGGGCGGCCCGTCAGGAAGTCCAGGATCCTTTCAGAGGGAGGTGTTTTGTCCCAGGGTCCTTAGCTTAGTGATGAGCTTTGTGGGCACAATGGTGTTGAACGCTGAGCTGTAGTCAATGAATAGCATTCTCATGTAGGTGTTCCTTTTGTCCAGGTGGGAAAGGGTAGTGTGGAGTGCAATAGAGATTGCATTATCTGTGGATCTTTTGGGGCGGTATGCAAATTGGAGTGAGTCTAGGGCTTCTGGGATAATGGTGTTGATGTGAGCCATGACCAGCCTTTCAAAGCTCTTCATGGCTACAGATGTGAGTGCCATGGGTCTGTAGTCATTTAGGCAGGTTACCTTAGTGTTCTTGGGCACAGGGACTATTGTGGTCTGCTTGAAACATGTTGGTATTACAGACTCAGTCAGGGACATGTTGAAAATGTCAGTGAAGACACTTGCCAGTTGGTCAGCGCATGCTCGGAGTACACGTCCTGGTAATCCGTCTGGCCCTGCGGCCTTGTGAATGTTGACCTGTTTAAAGGTCTTACTCACATCAACTACAGAGAGCGTGATCACACAGTCGTCCGGAACAGCTGATGCTCTCATGAATGCTTCAGTGTTGCTTGCCTCGAAGCGAGCATAGAAGTGATTTTAGCTCGTCTGGTAGGTTCATGTCACTGGGCAGCTCGCGGCTATGCTTCCCATTGTAGTCTGTAATAGTTTGCAAGCCCTGCCACATCCGACGAGCGTCAGAGCCGGTGTAGTACGATTCAATCCTAGTCCTGTATTGACTCTTTGCCTGTTTGATGGTTCGTCGGAGGGCATAGCGGGATTTCTTATAAGCGTCCGGGTTAGAGTCCCGCTCCTTGAAAGCGGCAGCTCTACCCTTTAGCTCAGTGCAGATGTTGCCTGTAATCCATGGCTTCTGGTTGGGGTATGTATGTACGGTCACTGTGGGGACGACGTCATCGATGCACTTATTGATGAAGACAGTGACTGATGTGGTGTACTCCTCAAAGCCATCGGAAGAATCCCGGAACATATTCCAGTCTTTGCTAGCAAAACAGTCCTGTAGCTTAGCATCTGCGTCATCTGACCACTTATTTATTGACAGAGTCACTGGTGCAGTCCTGCTTTAGTTTTTGCTTGTAAGCAGGAATCAGGAGGATATAATTATGGTCAGATTTGCCAAATGGAGGGTGTGGGAGAGCTTTGTACGCGTCTCTGTGTGTGGAGTAAAGGTGGTCTAGAGTTTTTTTCCCCCTCTGGTTGCACTTTTAACATGCTGGTAGAAATGAGGTAAAACATGATTTAAGTTTCCCTGCATTAAAGTCCCCGGCCACTAGGAGCACCGCCTCTGGATGAGCGTTTTCCATGATTGCTTATGGCCTTATACCGGAAGGAGTTGAAAGCGTTTACATTTTAGTTCGTGGTTGTATATCGTTTCAAAGTAAGATTATGAATGTGCTTCATGTTGCCATGTGAATCACTATTTAGACGGTGCATGTCCTTGTATAGAACAACATTTTTCAATATTACATGGTCCACATGCGTAACTTATGTACTGTATTCCTTTGAATTGCAAACATATAATAATATAATAATATTCCTGAAAAATGTAACTGATATTGTCCATCAAGGCCTGGAGCTGAATGGCCCTTCACTGGCAGGCTGAATTACATAGACCTGACTGATTGAAGGGTGTTGACTAGGTATAACAGATTTAAGTTTCCCTGCATTATAGTCCCCGGCCACTAGGAGCGCCGCCTCTGGATGAGTGTTTTCCTGTTTGCTTATGGCCTTATACAGCTCATTGAGTGCGGTCTTAGTGCCAGCATCGGTTTGTGGTGGTAAATAGACAGCTACGAAAAATATAGATGAAAACTCTCTTGGTAAATAGTGTGGTCTACAGCTTATCATGGGATACCCTACCTCAGGTGAGCAAATACCTTGAGAATTCATTAATATTAGATTTCGTGCACCAGCTGTTGTTTACAAATAATATAATAATAATATGCCATTTAGCAGACGCTTTTATCCAAAACGACTTACAGTCATGCGTGCATACATTTTTTTTGCGTATGGGTGGTCCCGGGGATCGAACCCACTACCCTGGCGTTACAAGCGCCGTGCTCTACCAGCTGAGCTACAGAGGACCACAAATATACACAGACCGCCACCCCTTATCTTGCCGATGCAGCATATATCCCGCTGTTATCCATGTCGTCGTTCAGCCACGACTCGGTGAAACATAAGATATTACAGTTTTTAATGTCCCGTTGGTAGGATATCCGTGATTGTAGTTAATCTATTTTGTTATGCAATGATTGTACGTTGGCTAATAGGACTGATGGTCGAGGCAGATTACCCATTCGCTGTCGGATCCTTTCAAGGCACCCCGACCTACGTCTCCGATATCTCCGTCTCTTTCTCATGCGAATGACGGGGATTTGGGCCTTGTCGGGTGTCTGAAGAAAATCCTTTGCTTCCGACTCATTAAAGAAAAAATCCTTGTCCAGTATGAGGTGAGTAATCGCTGTCCTGATATCCAGAAGCTCTTTTCGGTCATAAGAGACGGTGGCAGAAACATTATGTACAAAATAAGTTACAAATAACGCGAAAAAAACACACAATAGCACAATTGGTTAGGAGCCCGTAAAACGGCAGCCATGTCCTCCGGCGCCATTCCACACCTACTTTATCAAGGATTTTTCTTTCTTTTTACCTTTTTCTACATTGTAGAATAATAGTGAAGACCTCAAAACTATGAAATAACACATATGGAATCATGTAGTAACCAAAAAAATGTTTAAACACATATATATTTTATATTAGAGATTCTTCAAATAGCCACCCTTTACCTTGATGACTGTTTTGCACACTCTTGGCATTCTCTCAACCAGCTTCATGAGGTAGTCACCTGGAATGCATTTCAATTAACAGGTGTGCCTTCTTAAAAGTTAATTTGTGGAATTTCTTTCCTCCTTAATGCGTTTGAGCCAATCAATTGTGTTGTGACAAGGTAGGGGTGTTATACAGAAGATAGCCCTATTTGGTAAAAGACCATATTATGGCAAGAACAGCTGAAATAAGCAAAGAGAAACGACAGTCCATCATTACTTTAAGAAATGAAGGTCAGTCAATCTGAAAAATTGGAAGAACTTTGAAAGTTTCTTCAAGTGCAGTCGCAAAAACCATCAAGCGCTATGATGAAACTGGCTCTCATGAGGACCGCCACAGGAAAGGAAGACCCAGAGTTACCTCTGCTGCTGCGGATATGTTCATTAGAGTTAACTGCACCTCAGATTGCAGCCCAAATAAATGCTTCACAGAGATCAAGTAACAGATACATCTTAACATCAACTGTTCAGAGGAGACTATGTGAATCAGGCCTTAATGGTCAAATTGCTGCAAAGAAATCACTACTAAAAGACACCAATAATAATAATAAGAGACTTGCTTGGGCCAAGAAACACGAGCAATGGACATTAGACCAGTGGAAATTTGTCCTTTGGTCTGGAGTCCAAATTTGAGATTTTTGGTTCCAACCGCTGTGTCTTTGTGAGACGCAGAGTAGGTGAACGGATGATCTCCGCATGTGTGGTTCCCACCGTGAAGCATGGAGGAGGAGGTGTGATGGTGTGGGGGTGCTTTGCTGGTGACACTGTCAGTGATTTATTTAGAATTCAAGGCACACTTAACCAGCATGGCTACCACAGCATTCTGCAGCGATACGCCATCCCATCTGGTTTGCGCTTAGTGGGACTGTCATTTGTTTTTCAACAGGACAATGACCCAAAACACACCTCCAGGCTGTGCAAGGGCCATTTGACCAAGGAGAGTGCTGCATCAGATGACCTGGCCTCCACAATCACCCGACCTCAACACAACTGTGATGGTTTTGGATGAGTTGGACCTCATAGTGAAGGAAAAGCAGCCAACAAGTTCTCATCATATGTGGGAACTCCTTCAAGACTGTTGGAAAAGCATTCCGCATGAAGCTGGTTGAGAGAATTCCAAATAGGGCTATCTTCTGTATACCCCCCACCTTGTCACAACACAACTGATTGGCTCAAACGCATTAAGAAGGAAAGACATTCCACAAATTAACTTTTAACAAGGCACACCTGTTAATTGAAATGCATTCCAGGTGACTACCTAATGAAGCTGGTTGAGAGAATGCCACGAGTGTGCAAAGCTGTCAAGGCAAAGGGTGGCAAATATAAAATATATTTGAATCTCAAATATAAAATATATTTGTTAAAAACTTTGTTGGTTACTACATGATTCCATATGTGCTATTTCATAGTTTTGATGTCTTCACTATTATTCTACAATGTAGAAAATAGTAAAAATAAAGAAAAACCCTTGAATGAGTAGGTGTCCAAACTTTTGACTGATGCTGTACCTAACAGCTAATCATTTATTTACTGAAGTTACATTTGAACATACTTGAATTCCTTAACCCCTTTTCTCCAGCTCACAACTTACAATAAATACAGCAATTGTTTACATGCATAGATTTTATATGTACCACTCTTTCACCAAATTCCACAGAAATGTAAGTATTTACTATTCTTCATTATGTAGAGTCAGCCTGACCTGTATTTTCCTTAGAAAATGGGCAACCTCTTTACATGTGAATTTATTAAAATTAATTATCTTCTTACAGATTATTTCTCCAACCACATTATTCCTAGCTGCAAAAGTTGAAGAGCAACCTCGGAAACTGGAGCATGTCATTAAGGTTTCGCATGCTTGTCTAAACCCTCAAGAGGCCCCGCTTGATACGAAGAGTAATGTAAGTCTGGGTACTATGGGTATTGTAGGTTTTGTTATTCTCTCTGTTTCTCCCATTTTGTCAATGGCATCAACACTTGCTTTTGTGTAGTTTGAGGTGTGTGTCACCAGAGGGGGAGCTGAGACTGAACATAGTCTGACAGAAGCAATTTTCAGGCTTTGTCAGACGGATGTCTCAGTCCTGTCTCGGCATGTTCTTAGTGCTTATATTATTCCTAGTAGCAAGACTATATTTAAAACATCTGGCACTAAGAAATAACCCATACTGTTACTTTGGAATAGGGGTATCGATAGACACATTACAATGTCATGTAATGATTGTCTATTGAACTTCAGGCATACCTCCAGCAAGCTCAAGAGCTGGTGATACTTGAAACCATAGTGCTGCAGACTTTAGGTAAGTAATGACTGAGTGAGTGTATAGCGAGAACTTGGTCTAGTCTACAAAGTGTGTTATGTTTTGAATATTCTGTTGGACCATTGCTGCCAGGCATAGATGAATTGCCCTGTGTTCCCATTTGTCAGATTATTTAAATGAGGTATGTCACAGGAACATGTCAAACAATCCTCAATGCCAAGATTCTATTGCTGCTGCACAGGTCAACATGTTATTATCGTTTGATGAATCTCAGATCTTGGCAAACAGCAGTCCCATCCATGTTCCGATTTGTGGTCTCCACGACTACGGAATACTCCAATTATGTTGCCACCATCTGCGGCCCTTTTGGTTATACAACGTCAATATACTCACCCTTAATTAGATGTAAAGAAAAGAGAACTGCCTTTCATAATCCACATGTAATCCTGACTGTGCTTTTGTGATGAACAATAGAGGGGAAGAACCATAGATGGAACATTACTTTGATGCATTTTGACAAACTGTTACTGTTGAAACTCACCTGTCATGTATTTTGTTCCAGGATTTGAAATAACTATTGAACATCCACACACTGATGTGGTGAAATGTTCCCAGCTAGTGAGAGGTAGAGGCTTCCTTCTTTGCTCTTTCATGTCCTCTAGTCGGGTCATGTCTACAAGGGATCCAGCTTTTGTCAAATTAATATCAAATTGGACTTTTCGTAGCAGCTTATGAACACGTATGCAGCAGATTAGGAAAACTAACGTAGCGTGTTAGGAAAAGAGTTAGGGTTAGGTTAAAGGCAAAAACGTTAATTTGACGTTAATTTGTCACATGCTGGATCGCTTCTAGCCTTCACCCTCTAGTCGTGTAGGTGGGAGGATGAATGCTGACATGATTGTGTAACAAATCGTTGTTGACCTTTTAGAGTTATCACTAAACATGTACAGTACATTAAAGGTAGACTCAGCAAAATGACGTTGCCACGAACAGCACTGCAGATATTGAGATGAGTGAGATGCAAGACTTTGCTCTCACAGTCACACCCAGTATCTGTGCATGCGCACGGGTTGCCTTCACGCTGTTAGAACGTGATTGACACAGGACCAGAACAGCGGAGAAGTTGAGCCTCATGCTTCAACGCTCTTAGTAGTTGCGAAAATTAGTTATTGCGGAAAAAGGTTAGGGATTTTTCTTAACATTAAGGATCCTAATTTCGTTTAAACATTTTTAACGTTTAAACGGTCACACCCCTAGCATCTGCGTCATATCGCTGAGTCTATCTTTAAAGGTAACATTTTGTCAACTTCTAATGATAACCCTTATTAACAGAGCACACTGGTCAGCAAAAACCTTAACTCTCTTTTCTCTCTCACTTACAGCAAGCAAGGATCTGGCACAGACTTCCTATTTCATGGCTACCAACAGGTTGTTATCCTGACCCTCCTTTGTTGCACTGTGACTATTGCACACTATAGCTTCCTGTAAGCAGGGTACCCTTTCTGTGTCCAACGGCCCTCTATGCGCCGATGGCTACTGGGATGCTAGCCCCCTCTCTTGCCCCCACAGTGGGGTTGAATGCACAATGTGAAGTGTAGTGGTGGGCTTGAATCTCACGTTTGCTCGGTTACAAAAGTGCACATGTCTAAAAAGACACTTTGGTAGCCTGAATAGCAGCTAAAGATTACACAGATGTAAACATAACGTAGAAGTCATCCTGGTAAGTACTGCGAACCCTCCTTTTTATTTATTTGTGTTTTTAAAATGTTGCCAAATATTTAAAAAGTTTATGAAAATCTTTGTCAGTTAACCAAATAATTGTTAATGTAATGAGATGTATGTATGTATGTATGTATGTATGTATGTATGTATGTATGTATGTATGTATGTATGTATGTATGTATGTATGTATGTGTGTGTATATATATATATATATATGTGTATTTGTATATAGAACAGAAATGGAAGTGCTAATTACAATTTATGATGTTAACCCATTAAGGACCTACTCAAATGGCATGTTTTTTTAATTTGAGGAGAAGAATACACCATGTTTTAATACACCATTTCATTGTATTACAAAATATCTGTCCATCCATAAGTATTAGTCTTGGTTTTTGGCTTTTCACTTACAAACAACCATACACAGTTTATATTCTGCAAATTATGGCAGAACTAGGTCCTGAAGGGTTAGTTTTGCCAAGACATCATGTTGGGTTGGGATTTAATATAGCCTTTTTGTTTCCCATAGCCAAAAAACGCCCTCAAAACTAACTACAATGTCTGGACGCAGATCCTGATAAATGCTTTTCTGTTAGGCCTGGTCATAATTAAGCTGTTGCTTGCGCAATCCGGCAATCGTACGAAAATTATAATTTTTTGATCGAAAAAAAATAATATGAAAGAGCCAAAGACAACATTGTGTTCCAGAAACGGCCTGTTCTAAAGAAGGCAGGCTGCATTTGACCCATTAGAACTGGAGAGGCTTATGTCTAACAGTAAACAGGGAGAAGTGAAGAACTTGACGTTGTGCCGTAGACGTCGCGCTAATTAGAGGATGAATGGCTTCTTAATGCCTGAACTCAGTGACCAGCCACAGAAAGGCCTTGTTTGTTTGGGTCTTAGACATATAATTCACCACGGTTACTGACCTGTACCCTGTAGACTAAACAGTGAGGAAAAAGTGGAAACTGTACCCAAGCCTTAGAAATAGAATTGACTTGAATGGGAATGTATGTAAAATGTAAATGTACTTCTGTTTCTATGGTTTGGATTCTATTTGGGTTAGAGTCACCATGGTGAATACGGGAACTTCTTATATTTGATGTTGTTTTCCAGGATTGTGCGCACTAGTCTCAGGCAGCGCAGGGTTACCATCCAGCTTTTACCATGGTCTTTAAAATGGGTGACTATCTAGCTCTCTGGCCCTTTAAATCTTTCAAGGTTCAATATTGAAGCTTCATCTAGTTCTCCACGACTCAGGTTCTTCAGAACTCAAGCTAACTTGGACTACAGTTGACTAGAAGAAGGCATTTCTGTGTGTTTTTCTCACCATAACCAGTTAGTCTGAATGAGTGGCTCTTTTGAATTTACTGTAAGCTAATTTCGACATTACCATAAAATGTTGACCAAGTGTGTTATTTATTGGTGGTGGATTTTTTAAATGAAGGGTGAAATTGGGTCACTTTCCCACCTGAAAAAACCTACTAGTAATCTTTTTTAATTTTAATTTGATGCATATTTGAAGTTATTGCTATATTTGCAGCTCCTTTTGGTAAACACTAGGATGGTAGCCACTGTGAAACTGACTCCTGATCTATTCTGCATGTCAGTCATTGTTTGTTCTCAACTGTGTCAAAATGGGTATAACATTTATTTTGCAATGCTTCTTCTTCTTCTGTTGTCCTCAACACTGTGTACTGTGTTTTACCTCAGCCTAAAGCACCTGTGACTTACAGTCTGTTTTATCTTGTCTCTTCTCCATGTGACCTGTTGTTGTGCTCCGGTCTCTGCTCGCGCAGCCTCCACCTCACCACGTTCTGCCTGCAGCACAAGCCCACAGTCATCGCCTGCGTCTGCATCCACCTGGCCTGTAAATGGTCTAACTGGGAGATCCCTGTCTCTACTGATGGGAAACACTGGTGGGAGTACGTGGACAACTCTGTCACACTGGAGCTGCTCGATGGTGACTCTTTGATTTGATTATAGTTTGTTAGTTCACGCTCGTAGTCGGAAAGACATGCAGAATGCACAGTGACAATGTGTTTTAGTTTGGGAGAAGCGTTTGTTTTAGTCAATGAGAAGTGTGTGGGGTATGTTATTATTGGCATTTATATTAGGTGTTAAAACCAAGTGTGACCTGTCCTGTCCTTCAGAACTGACACATGAGTTCCTTCAGATTCTGGAGAAAACGCCGAGCAGGTTGAAGAGGATACGGAACTGGAGGGTAAGCTTCCGTTTCTCTCCAGTGAATCATCGTTAAGACCTCTCACTCGTTCTAAACACTGTTGTAGTTTGTCCTTGGTGTCTGCTGATTTTATTTCAGTGTAGTTTTATTGTACAGTTTCATGCTCTTCACAAAACCGCCTCGTCACACCATCATCCTCTCTTCTCCCCCATGCCAGGCCACACAAGCTGCCAAGAAGCCCAAGGGAGATGGCTCTCAGGCAAATGACCCCTACCCAGGACCCTCCCTGGTCCACGAACATTCCCTGGGAGACGGCATCCCTGGGGTCTCCAACTCAGCCTTCTCCAAAGCCGCCGCCTCGTTCCCTGTCCCTCTGCCGGGGCACGCCAGTGGACCCCTCTCCCTGGACTCCATAGCCTCTATGCAGGGCAGCTCCTACACCTTCACCACCCCCAGCGACTGGCCCCAGGACACGGGTGGTCGCTCGGAGGGAGGAGGCTATTCCCTCAAAACAGATGCACTAGGCCTCCAGGGGGCTTCACTGTCTCTGCATCACGGCTCTCTAAACCCACACAGACCAGATAAGACCGTGGAGTTCAACCCTACTAAACACGAACACAAGGCTGTAGGGGGAGGGGGGAAGCACCAGCAACAGCAGCCCGTTTTCCCTCCACCGCCCCCGCCGGCCCAGAAAATGTCCCTGGACAAGTACAGAGAGAAGCACGCTGCCGAGCTTGCGGTGCAGCAGCAACGCAGACAGACAGAGCAGCAGGATATGGAGCCTGAGAGCAGGGATGCCTATATACCCTCTGTCCAGTCAGACCACAGGAAACACATGCAGCCCCACCCTAACCCAGGGGGCAGCAGCGGCACCACTGCCCCTCCTCTTAAAATGAAGCTGGCCATGCCAGGCCAGGACAGGCTCCCCTCTGACAAACGGGACAAGGGGGGCTCACTCAAACTCCGCCTCCCAGTTCCTTCTCAGGGGGGCGTGGCCAGCAAAGAGGAGCTGAAGATGAAAATCAAGGTGTCCTCTGAGCGCCACAGCTCTTCTGACGAGGGCGGGGCAAAGAGCAAACATTCCAGCCCGCTGGTAAGCAAGGAGAAGCATCGGGACCACTCTGCCCACCGCCACCACAAGCAGCACGGACACTCTCACCTCCATTCAGCACAGCACAGCGGCAATGGCAGGGGGGGCCTTGAGGGGCCAGCGGGGGTTGGGCCGGCCCTCCTCCGGAGCCCCCTGGGGTTAGGGGGCGTTGAGGGGGTGGCGGGCCCAGCCCTTGCTTCTGGTTCCAGCTCCTCCCGCAAGAGGGCGCACCCCAACGTCGCCGGCCACAACCACCACTCCTCCTCCAAAACGAGCAAAAGCTCCAAGGGCAGCGCAGGTAGTTCCTCCTCTCACTGTTCCTCTGTTCAGCTGCAGTCACAGTGTGTGTCGTCTCAGTCACAGTGTGTGTCGTCTCACAGTCACAGCTCTGGTTTTAACCTTCCCTTCCCCCTCCTCCCCCTGTCACATACCAGGTGGGCTACGGACATCTCAGCACCCTAGTGAAACTGGACAAGAAGCCAGTGGAGAGCCGCGGCCCTGAGGTCGCCGGCTGGGGTACGGCCAGCACCAAACAGACACACGTTTCCTGTTAAGTGCCCAATGAATGAACTCATGAACCCTTTATAGCAAGGCAATGGAAGGTAAAGCAAAAAATATAAAGAAAAGTGTAGGACAAAAATATAATGATTATGCTTCCCGATCATCTGATCTCTTGGCAGTGCTGGTATAGTTCTGTCTGTTTCTGTGTGTAGTTGCTGCTTTGTCCTCTCCGGATTCTCTGGATGGGTCTTGGAATGTGGACGTGTCAGGGGGTCAACTTAGTTTAAATGCTGAAAAAAGGTATTATAAATACTGAAAAGGTATGAAAGATGCAATTTCTTTTCTTTTAAATAATAATTAAAACAGCATTTCCACAACTGTAATCCATTCTGGTGGGAAAACAAGGCAAGCAGTCCTCTCCGTTATGGCTGGAGGTGGGCTTCCCTCAGTCGGTAATAGAGAAGGAAGGCCAGGCACGCCAAACATGGCCGCCAATGGAAGCTGGATTTTTAGTTTATTTCTTGAATGAGTGTCTCTCTTTTTTTATACTCAATACTGTATCGATGATTCACATGTTTCTAGATGATTCACATGTTTCTAGATGATTCACATGTTTCTATCGTCAAAGGGATAAAGCAGAACGCTGACTGCTGTTTACAGAAAGTGGAGATAAATGTACATACGTTTTTGTATGTTTAAAAAGCTATACCATAAATACTCAGGGTTGGAACTGCTTGTATGTAAGTATAACAAGATCTATATATATATATATATATATATATATATATATATATATATATATATGATGGGAAGAAAATACTATTGTGATTTGATGTAGGAGTCCTATCTTTGGTGATTCTAACTGCAGCGTTCCAGTGTTGTACTTAGAGCCTGTACTATGCATGGCTGCCGGTAGAGGGCACTCGACCTTCAACCTTTCCATCCCTTTGTAGAGTCTGGATTTCCTCCAATGCAGACCCTACAAACAGTACCAACCACCTGGCATGTTGTCAGAGGCCATGCAATTTGTACTCATTATAATTATTTTGACCTCCAAGACCACCTTAAGCTGGATGCCAAAGGCTGTCCCTCGCAAAAAAAACGAAAGACATACATGAGGACAGTAATACTAGTGCTATAGAGTTTACATGCCTAACCTTTTCTGTGAAGTGCATTTACATAAAATCGTTACTTGGCTTGACCCTGTAGCCCATAGATGCAAAGCTGTAAATCAGTAATGGTAAATAATGTAGGATTGTTGATGTCCAGCGACGCGGCAGAAAAGTAGCCTGGTTGCCAGTGTTTCTGATCTCTTGTCAAGTCCTTTTATTAATAGCTTGACAATGACAATGGAGTAGGCAAGAGCACAAACAGATCTGGCACCAGGATAGGAGAAAAGGCTATTGGGCTTAACGTTCCATCAGTGTTGTTGATACAGTACGGTGGCTCGTGTGCTGTCACAGGTCAGTTTCCTACTGTATATGGCAGATATCATTCTCAATTGTGGACACAAACTAAGAACTGTTCTTTGACTGGTTAGTCCTTTTATTTCAGTGTGCAGACAGTTCGTATTGAGGCCAAGATGGTATATTCCACCAGTATTTATACTTTTAGGCACAGACGTTAGTGGTTTGATGATAAGAAGGCAAGCGCAAATCTTGACAACCAGTTTTATTATTTTATTTAAGTTCTACAAATAAATCTTAAGGTTAACACTACCTTAAAACTTGACCTATGTTGTATGATTGATTGGTATTTACTGTATGCTATATGAAGAGAATGAAAGCAAAATGTTAGACAAATACCCTATTTCTGTATCCTCTGCAAAATCTTGTTCCAAAGGTGCACCAAAAATTCAAGGGATTTTTTTTGTGTGATAGAAAGGGTACAAAGGTTTCAAGCAATATATTTGAAAAATAATTTAAATACTGTATATTATGCTAATTCAACATATTTACATACATTCTTGATAGGCGTTACGGCTTGTCACTTCTTCTTGATGAACTCTTACGCTATTTCCTAACAGCTTTGAGTGTAGGTCCTGAACTAACATGATGTCCTTGGGAATGAAAGGGTGGCCCAATAGTAGTTCTGCTGTTCCTGGTCACTGCAAAGAGGACAGAATAATATGTTATTATCATGTTTTACTGACTGTGGGTGAGTTGTCACATGTATCTTTGTTTGACTTAGTGATGGTTCACGTAATTAACAATTAATGAAATTTGTATCCACACTTGGTTTGTTTTACTTTAGTCTTCGTAGCTTTCTATACAGTGTAGTATTCAGTGTAGATCCCAATCTCTGCTTATCTAGAGACTACATTCAAGGTAAGGAAACATTAGTACTTTGGTTGAACTATTCCTTTTAAAGTATTATTTGTAACATTTTGCTTGTAAGTACAGAATCATAGATCAACTCACTTGGTCAGACAAAGTCACTGGTGTCCTCTGAGAATCCGTCAGGCAGCAAAGGCATTGGGCCTCTCCTCGCACAGATTTAGAACCGGGCCGCCACCATGTCCATGGACAGTGGCGGCTTCCTAGTGGCCATCTCAAACACGGTGCACCCCACGCTCCAGATGTCCGACTTCCTGCTGTGACCAATCTTGTTGATGACCTCCGGCACCATCCAGTAGGGTGTGCCGTGCAACGATTTCAGGAGGCCACTACGACCGTGTGAGCGAGGCAACTCAAATGCCAGGCACAGCCGAAGTCTATCAGCTTGTCTTCTCCTGTAGGCATGAACATGACGTTCCCCTTCAGGTCCCTGTGGATGACCCTGTTGAGGAGCAGGTAGGACACCCCCTCCATGGGTGTACAGAGCCAGGATGCTCTCCGGAAGAGGGCCGACGCGGTAGAGCACGCTGGCGATGCAGCCTCCAGGGACATACTCCATGAAGACGACGACACATGATTTTGGAAATCCACGACTTAATGCGGCGTGCCTGGATACAGCCCTTAGCCATGGTACAGTATATTGGCCATATACCACAAACCCCCAAGGTGCCTTGTTGCTATTACAAACTGGTTACCATCATAATTAGAACAGTAAAAAAAAAGAAATGTTTTGTCTTACCGATAGTATACGGTCTGATATACCACGACTTTCAGCCAATCAGCATTCAGGGCTCGAACCACTCAGTTTACAGTAGAATGTAAACAACACACAGCTCATGTATAATTAAGCAATAAGTCACAGGGTTTGTGGTATATGGCCAATATACATTCCATTTTAGTCATTTAGCAGACGCTCTTATCCAGAGTGACTTATAGGAGCAATTAGGGTTAAGTGCCTTGCTCAAGGGCACATCGACAGATTTTTCACCTAGTTGGCTCTGGGATTAGAACCAGCGACCTTTCGGTTACTGGCACAACGATCTTAACCACTAAGCTACCTGCCGCCTGTGAACAGCCCTTGGCCGTGGTATATTGGCGATACCACACCCCCTTGGGCCTTATGGCTTAATTATACATGAGCTGTGTGTTGTAGGTAACTGTGTAGTGATAATAGAATTAGGCCTGTAGTGACAATGGAAAGTAATTTTGAAATGGAAGTTTAATCAATGAAATATATAATCTCACATTCTATTGTAAACTTGGACCAAGTGTTATTTGCTTACACCCTGTAATGATTTATCATGCCTCGGCACAGAATTATTTCTGAGTTCCCTCTCGTTGTCGGAGTCAGTTGTGTTCTGCCCTCTCTCGTCCAGTGATATCAGCTCTTCAGACAGACATCGCAGCAGAGGCCCCTTACTCCACCCAGAAACTTCTGGAACACAGGTGACATGGTCCTGCTGTCACAGCTACCTGAGGTCCAGGTGTCGATCTAATGCCGCGTTTTCAACGGTCATCCAACTCGAAATTCCAACTCGGGAACTCTGGCCTCTTTCTAGAGCTCAGACTTTCCGACCTGAAGATCACTGACATCATGATTTGACCTCGTATTTTTCAGAGTTCCCAGTTGTTTTGAATGCGGCATCAGGCTGCACTGGGCTGTAGGATTGAGGGGATGAATGGTCCAGGCGATTTGCCTTGCTATTGTCAGTGTCGGACATGTTGCTCCCCATGGCTCCCTCATTGTCCTGCACACAGAGACCATCATCATCTTGGTCAGAATGAGATGTGAGTTTAGTCGTTGACCAGGAGAGGTTTTGTCTCCTGGCCGGTGGCGAGAGATTAAAGGGTCTGACGCATGGCTGGACATTGACAGCACTTCCTCTATCACTGACCGCGACAACGTAGGGTGTCCCTCTGACACCTGTGGTGTGTTCGGAGAGACAGCCTCTTCTCCTTCACTCAGGACCAGCTCAGTCTTAGAATGAGTGTGGCTGTGCCAGAAATGACCACCACATCGTCTTTTTGTCATCGGTGATGGCGTTAGATCTGACTTTCCCCTGTATATAGACGGATTACCAGGACATGTACTCAGAGCATGCGCCGACCAACAAGCAAGTGTCTTCACTGACATTTTAAACCTCTCCCTGACCGAGTCTGTAAGACCTACATGTTTCAAGCAGTCCACCATAGTCCCTTTGCCCAAGAAGGCGAAGTTAACCTGCCTAAATGACTACCGCCCCGTAGCACTCACGTCGGTAGCCATGAAGTGCTTTGAAAGGCTGGTCATGGCTCACATCAACACCATCATCCCGGAAACCCTACACCCACTCCAATTCGCATACCGCCCCAACAGATCCACAGATGACGCAATCTCAATCGCACTCCACTCTGCCCTTTCCCACCTGGATAAAAGGAACACCTATGTGAGAATGCTGGTCATTGACTACAGCTCAGCGTTCAACACCATAGTGCCCACAAAGCTCATCACTAAGCTAAGGATCCTGGGACTAAACACCTCCCTCTGCAACTGGATCCTGGACTTCCTGAGGGGCCGCCCCCAGGTGGTAAGGGTAGGTAACAACACATCTGCCACGCTGATCCTCAACATGGAGGCCCCACAGGGGTGCGTGCTTAGTCCCCTCCTGTTACTCCCTGTTCACCCACGACTGCGTGGCCAAGCATGACTCCAACACCATCATTAATTTTGCTGACGACACAACGGTGGTAGGCCTGATCACCGACAACGATGAGACAGCCTATAGGGAAGAGGTCAGAGACCTGGCAGTGTGGTGCCAGGACAACAACCTCTCTCTCAACGTGAGCAAGACAAAGGAGCTGATCGTGGACTACAGGAAAAGGAGGGCCGAACACGCCCCTGTTCACATCGACAGGGCTGTAGTGGAGCGGGTCGAGACTTTCAAGTTTCTTGGTGTCCACATCACCAACAAACTATCATGGTCCAAACACACCAAGACAGTTGTGAAGACGATGCCTTTTCCCCCTCAGGAGACTGAAAAGATTTGGCATGACCGGTTACATCACCGTCTGGTATGGCAACTGCTCGGCCTCTGACCCAAGGCACTACAGAAGGTAGTGCGTACGGCCCAGTACATCACTGGGGCCAAGCTTCCTGCCATTCCGGACCTATACACTAGGCGGTCTCAGAGGAAGGCCCAAAAAATTGTCAGACTCCAGTCACCCAAGTCATAGACCAGGGTTCTTCAATTCCGGTCCTGGAGGGCCGAAACACTTCTGTTTTTTATTTCTACCTGGTAGTTAATTGCACTCACCTGGTGTCCCAGGTCTGAATTAGCCCCTGATTAGAAGGAGAGGATGAAAAACAGAGATGTTTTGGCCCTCCAGGACCGGAATTGAAGAACCCTGTCATAGACTGTACTCTCTGCTACCGTACGGCAAGCGGTACTGGAGCGCCAAGTCTAGGTCCAAAAGGCTCCTTAACAGCTTCTACTCCCAAGCCATAAGACTGCTGAACAATCAAATGGCCACCCGGACTATTTACATTGACCCCCCCCCCCTCCTTGTCTTTACACTGCTGCTACTCGCTGTTTATTATCTATGCATAGTCACCTTACCCCTACCTACATGTACAAATTACCTCAACTAACCTGTACCCCCGCACATTGACTCTGCACCGGTACCCCCTGTACATAGCCTTGTTATTATTTTATTGTTTTGGATTTTTTACTTTAGTTTATTTAGTAAACTTAACTGCATTGTTGGTTAAGGGCTTGTAATTAAGCATTTCACAGTAAAGTAAAGAACACCTGTTGTATTATTGTGCGGTCTGGCACTTTTCAGCTCCCTCTGCTGAATAAGTGTCCTTTTTGTAATTTTCAGCCATTTGCAGCTTGGACGTAAGGGCTCTAACCCTTGTTCGGACACAGGGTGAGTCTGTGCTTTTCTGACCAGTCTTTGACAAAGTTTGATTTCACTGTGGCCTCACCAATGATGATGGGATCCGAAGGTTTTCTGACCTTTGCTTTAACTTGTAAAGGAATGGACAAAGTCCTCCGGTTGCTTTTGGACTTGCTGTTCCCCCGAATGGTATGTTTGTGTGCCAAGACGTTGAAAGACCGATTTTTGGTTTGGACACTAGAGATTCCTCTTCTCTTTGTTCTTGATAGGTTTGGTGTTTTCCTCCTGCAGGAGGGCTGCATTCAGAAAGTGATATTCACAGTAGAAGGAAAACATTGATACTTGGTGTTCTCCACAACATGCATCTTTGCATTATTGTCATCGACTTGAATGGCTTTGTTTCTATGTCTTTCAGATGCTGAAGAACATGTGGTCGTTGGCTCAGTTCCTGTTGTCTCTCTTGAGTCCCCCTAAGCACATCACCTTTGTCCGTTCCACTGCCACCCACCTCTTCCTCACAGTCCCTCTCAAAGCATGAGGTGCTGTTAATGTCTTTGAACTTCGTCAAATCAAGTGTAAGCTGGTGCCTCATCTCAATTATTGCTTTGTGCCCTCTCCCTTGATAGGCGCTCCGTCATTAATATTGTACGTAATGTGTTGACTCCCTATTATTCCTCACTGTAATCTCCAACATCAAACTTCCCAGATGATTTCTAGATCCAAGTGCAACCTTCCCTTAAAAGTCTCTCTCTGTTTGGCGGTGGCCTCTCTCATCCTCCTCTTCCTCCAGGTTGATGGAGGACTGGCTGGTGTTGGAGCTAGAGCTGCTATCCTCGCTGCTCTCCCCCGGTGGCTGGGGACCCCCCTGGGGCTCACTCTGCTCCTGGCCATCCTTTCCCTCCTCAGCCTGTAGGTCATGGACACCAGCCTGATGGGCTTCAGGGGAGAATGGTGCTTCAGGCCAGGTAGCACTCCTCCGCCTCTATGTCCCCTGCAGCAATGTTCCAACATCTAGTGGAAAGCCTTTCCAGAAGAGTAGAGGCTGCTATAGCAGCAAAGGGGGAACCAACTCCATATTAATGCCCATGTTCAACGAGCAGGTGTCCACGTACTTTTGGTCATGTAGTGTACAATATGTGTTTGTGTATATACAGTGCCTTGCAAAAGTATTCATCCCCCTTGGCTTTTTTCCTATTTTGTTGCATTACAACCTGTAATTCAAATGGATTTAATGTAATGGACATACACAAAATAGTCCAAATTGGTGAAGTGAAATGGAAAAACAATAAAAAAATTTTTTTTAATAACAGAAAAGTGGTGTGTGCATATGTATTCACTCCCTTTGCTATGAATCCCTTAAATAAGATCTGGTGCTACCAATTACCTTCAGAAGTCACATAATTAGTTAAATAAAGTCCACCTGTGTGCAATCTAAGTGTCACATGATCTGTCGCATGATCCCAGAGTCTGCAACACCACTAAGCAAGGGGCACCACCAAGCAAGCGGCATCATGAAGACCAAGGAGCTCTCCAAACAGGTCAGGGACAAAGTTGTGGAGAAGTACAGATCAGGGTTGGGTTATAAAAAAATATCCTAAACTTTGAACATCCCACAGAGCCATTAAATCAAAAAAAAATATTAATGGAAAGAATATGGCACCACAACAAACCTGCCAAGAGAGGGCCGCCCACCAAAACTCATGGACCAGGCAAGGAGGGCATTAATCAGAGGCACAGCGGAGATTGGAGTATCTGTACATAGGACCGCTTTAAGCCGTGCACTCCACAGAGCTGGGCTTTACGGAGGAGTGGCCAGAAAAAAAGCCATTGCTTAAAGAAAAAAAATAAGCAAACACGTTTGGTGTTCGCCAAAAGGCATGTGCGAGGCTCCGCAAACATATGGAAGAGGGTACTCTGGTCAGATGAGACTAAAATTGAGCTTTTTGGCCATCAAGGAAAACGCTATGTCTGGCGCAAACCCAACACTTCTCATCACCCCAAGAACACCATCCCCACAGTGAAGCATGGTGGTGGCATCATCATGCTGTGGGGATGTTTTTCATTGGCAGGGACTGGGAAACTGGTCAGAATTGAAGGAATGATGGATGGCGCTAAATACAGGGAAATTCTTGAGGGAAACCTGTTTTAGTCTTCCAGAGATTTGAGACTGGGACGGAGGTTCACCTTCCAGCAGGACAATGACCCTAAGCATACTGCTAAAGCAACACTCGATTGGTTTAAGGGGAAACATTTAAATGTCTTGGAATGGCCTAGTCAAAGCCCAGACCTCAATCCAATTGAGAATCTGTGGTATGACTTAAAGATTGCTGTACACCACTGGAACCCATCCAACTTGAAGGAGCTGAAGCAGTTTTGCCTTGAAGAAGGGCAAAAATCCCAGTGGCTATATGTGCCGAACTTATAGAGACATACCCCAAGAGACTTGCAGCTGTAATTGCTGCAAAAGATGGCTCTACAAAGTATTGACTTTGGGGGGGTGAATAGTTATGCACGCTCAAGTTTTCTGTTTTTTTGTCTTATTTCTTGTTTGTTTCACAATAAAAAAATATTTTGCATCTTCAAAGTGGTAGGCATGTTGTGTATATCAAATGATACAAACCCCCCAAAAATCCATTTTAATTCCAGGTTGTAAGGCAACAAAATAGGAAAAATGCCAAGGGGGGTGAATATTTTCGTAATCCACTTTATATACTGCTATGCCTTATGACATACACAATTGAATACTTGATTGTGGTGAATTTCCTACAAAAATATGGTATGATATATTTGAGACAGAATATAAGAATTATACACTGCTAAAAAAATAAAGGGAACACTAAAATAACACATCCTAGATCTGAATGAATGAAATAATCTTATGAAATACTTTTTTCTTTACATAGTTGAATGTGCTGACAACAAAATCACACAAAAATGATCAACGGAAATAAAATCTATCAACCCATGGAGGTCTGGATTTGGAGCCATCCTCAAAATTAAAGTGGAAAACCACACTACAGGCTGATCCAACTTTGATGTAATGTCCTTAAAACAAGTCAAAATGAGGCTCAGTAGTGTGTGTGGCCTCCACGTGCCTGTATGACCTCCCTACAACGCCTGGGCATGCTCCTGATGAGGTGGCGGATGGTCTCCTGAGGGATCTCCTCCCAGACCTGGACTAAAGCATCCGCCAACTCCTGGACAGTCTGTGGTGCAACGTGGCGTTGGTGGATGGAGCGAGACATGATGTCCCAGATGTGCTCAATTGGATTCAGGTCTGGGGAACGGGCGGGCCAGTCCATAGCATCAATGCCTTCCTCTTGCAGGAACTGCTGACACACTCCAGCCACATGAGGTCTAGCATTGTCTTGCATTAGGAGGAACCCAGGGCCAACCGCACCAGCATATGGTCTCACAAGGGGTCTGAGGATCTCATCTCGGTACCTAATGGCAGTCAGGCTACCTCTGGCGAGCACATGGAGGGCTGTGCGGCCCCCCAAAGAAATGCCACCCCACACCATGACTGACCCACCGCCAAACCGGTCATGCTGGAGGATGTTGCAGGCAGCAGAACATTCTCCACGGCATCTCCAGACTCTGTCACATGTGCTCAGTGTGAACCTGCTTTCATCTGTGAAGAGCACAGGGCGCCAGTGGCGAATTTGCCAATCTTGGTGTTCTCTGGCAAATGCCAAATGTCCTGCACGGTGTTGGGCTGTAAGCACAACCCCCACCTGTGGACGTCGGGCCCTCATACCACCCTCATGGAGTCTGTTTCTGACCGTTTGAGCAGACACATGCAAATTTGTGGCCTGCTAGAGGTCATTTTGCAGGGCTCTGGCAGTGCTCCTCCTGCTCCTCCTTGCACAAAGGCGGAGGTAGCGGTCCTGCTGCTGGGTTGTTGCCCTCCTACGGCCTCCTCCACGTCTCCTGATGTACTGGCCTGTCTCCTGGTAGCGCCTCCATGCTCTGGACACTACGCTGACAGACACAGCAAACCTTCTTGCCACAGCTCGCATTGATGTGCCATCCTGGATGAGCTGCACTACCTGAGCCACTTGTGTGGGTTGTAGACTCCGTCTCATGCTACCACTAGAGTGAAAGCACCGCCAGCATTCAAAAGTGACCAAAACATCAGCCAGGAAGCATAGGAACTGAGAAGTGGTCTGTGGTCACCACCTGCAGAACCACTTCTTTATTGGGGGTGTCTTGCTAATTGCCTATAATTTCCACCTGTTGTCTATTCCATTTGCACAACAGCATGTGACATTTATTGTCAATCAGTGTTGCTTCCTAAGTCGACAGTTTGATTTCACAGAAGTGTGATTGACTTGGAGTTACATTGTGTTGTTTAAGTGTTCCCTTTATTTTTTTGAGCAGTGTATGATTAATCTATTAATATTATAAGAAAAGTGTATGTTCTGAGAATATAACCTCTGCAAAATGTTTTATTTCCTTATAGGTTTCACATTGTTTTTTTGTAAGTCAACATATAAAAAACCATGACAATGAATATAATTAAATTAACACAAATACACCACTGACACAGTGCATTCGGAAAGTATTCAGACCCCTTCACTTTTTCCACATTTTGTTACGTTACAGCCTTATTCTAAAATTGATTAAATTATTTGTTTCCTCATCAATCTACACACAATACCCATAATCACAAAGCAAAAACAGGTTTTTATAAATTAACAAATGTGTGTGTATATATGAACAGAAAAATATAAATGGAAATATGGGCGGCAGGTAGCTTAGTGGTTAAGAGCGTTGTGCCAGTAACCGAAAGGTCGCTGGTTCTAATCCCTGAGCCAACTAGGTGAAAAATCTGTCGATGTGACCTTGAGCAAGGCACTTAACCCTAATTGCTCCTGTAAGTCGCTCTGGATAAGAGCGTCTGCTAAATGACTTAAATGTAAATGTAAAATGTAAAATCACATTTACATTGTTGAAGCACCTTTGGCAGCGATTACAGCCTTGAGTCTTCTTGGAACATTCAGAGACTGTGTTGTCTTGGCTGTGTGCTTAGGGTCGTTGTCCTGTTGGAAGGTGAACTTTTGCCCCAGTTTGAGGTACTGAGCGCTCTGGAGCAGGTTTTCATTACATTTTAGTCATTTAGCAGACGCTCTTATCCAGAGCGACTTACAATTTGTGAGTGCATACATTTTTCATACTGGTCCCCCGTGGGAAACGAACCCACAACCCTGGCGTTGCAAGCGCCATGCCCTACCAACTGAGCTACAGGAGGGCCATCAAGGATCTTTCTGTACTTTGCTCCGTTCATCTTTCCCTCGACCCTGACTAGAGTGTGCAAAGCTGTCATCAAGGCAAAGGGTGGCTACTTTGAAGAATCTCAAATATAAAATATATTTTGATTTGTTTAACACTTTTTTTTGGTTACTACATGATTCCATATGTGTTGTTTTATAGTTTTGATGTCTTCACTATTATTCTACAATGTAGAAAATAGTACAAATAAAGAAAAACCCTTGAATGAGTAGGTGTGTCCAATCTTTTGACTGGTAGTGTATATACAACCCCCTATCCCTTTCTCTCTCTCTCTCTCTCTCTCTCTCTCTCTCTCTCTCTCTCTCTCTCTCTCTCTCTCTCTCTCTCCCTATATCTATCCCTCCTTCACTCTCTCCCTCCTTCTCTTGATCTCTCTGTCATCCCTCTCTCTCTCTCCCCCACTCTATCCCTCTATCCGTCTCTCCCTCCATCCCTCTCTCTACAGCTCCAGGTCCAGTGTTGTCCATGTCTCTACCTAGGCTGCTGTGTAGTTTACTGGTGGTGTCTCCCTACCTGCTGGTGACCATTGTACTGGTGGTGAGATGCTGCCGGGCTAGAGGTAAGAACTCCTTAGTCACTACACAGCAATATAGAACCCCTTAGCCACTGCACAGCAATATATAGGTAAGAACCCCTTTGCCACTACACAGCCATATAGAATCCCTTAGCCACTACACAGCAATATAGTTAAGTGATAATGCCAGAGAAGCCGGTGTTTGGAGGATATATTGGCACGGGAGTTGTGCGGCCCAAGACAAAGTCTCAGGCCAGCAAACTGCCAATATATCCTCCAAACACCGGCTTCGAGGGCATTATCACTTTTATACAACGGGTTACCAACATTCAAATAATGATTGACATATTTTTCATTAAAAACGTTATTTTGATGAATTTATTCATACTATTTCATCCTTCCACAAGATATAGTCCCGACACAAATCTAGGGTTGCTATCCAAGCCGGCTGGTCGTTCGTTATATCGGTTCGGTTGCAAGAGACCACCAGTCGTTCAGTTGTTTTGTTCTGTATCTATGGACGTGACCCAGTCGTTCGTTCTAAATGTTCCATTGCCAATACTGGGAGACAACGTTGTTATCCATTGCTTGCTAGCTAGCCAACTACGGCTAACTTACAGTTACGTCAAAAAGTGCAGCCAGAATAACAGAAAAGTAGCCGCATTTGCATTTGTTTAAGCTGTTTTCTAGTGACATTTATTTGGATACATCCATAAGAGCTAATGACGCGCCTGGCACAGAAAATGTGCTCACTCGTCAGGACCTTGTTGTTCAGAGGAGCTAGCCAACAACACAGCTAACACAAACATTTCCAACTGAAGCTGGAAAGACTGCAAGCTAGCTGCACTTCGTTTCGTTTTACCTTTTTTCAATTTACATTTCTTTGTATACAGTGCATTCGGAAAGTATTCAGACCCCTTCACTTTTTTCCCCTCAACAATCTACACACAATACCCCATAATGACAAGGCGAAAACAGGTTTGTAGAAATTTTGATAAATGTATAAAAAATATTCAGACCCTTAGCTATGACACTCGAAATTGAGCTCAGGTGGATCCTGTTTCCATTGATAATCCTTGATGTTTCTACAACTTGATTGGAGATTATTTGGAAAGTCACACACCTGTCTATATAAGGTCCCACAGTTGACCGTGAATGTCAGAGCAAAAACCAAGCCATGAGGTCGATGGAATTGTCCGTAGAGCTCCGAGACAGGATTGTGTCTAGGCACAGATCTGGGGAAGGGTACCAAACAATGTCTGCAGCATTGAAGACCCCCAATAACACAGTGGCCTTCATCATTCTTAAATGGAAGAAGTTTGGAACCACCAATACTCTTCCTAGATCTGGCCGCCCGGCCAAACTGAGCAATCGGGGGAGAAGGGCCTTGGACAGGGAGGTGACCAAGAACCCGATGGTCACTCTGACAGTGCTCCAGAGTTCCTCCTTCCAGAAGGACAACCATCTCTGCAGCACTCTACCAATCAGGCCTTTATGGTAAAGTGGCCAGACGGAAGCCACTCTTCCGTAAAAGGCACATGACAGCATGCTTGGAGTTTGCCAAAAGGAACCTAAAGGACTCTCAGATCATGAGAAACAAGATTTTCTGGTCTGATGAAACCAAGATTGAACACTTTAGCCTGAATGCCAGGCATCACGTCTGGAAAAAACCTGGCATCATGCTGTGGGGATGTTTTTCAGTGGCAGGGACTGGGAGACTAGTCAGGATCGAGGGAAAGATGAACAGAGCAAAGTACAGAGAGATCCTTGATGAAAACCTGCTCCAGAGTGCTCAGTACCTCAGACTGGGGTGAAGGTTCACATTCCAACAGGACAACGACCCTAAGCACACAGCCAAGACAATGCAGGAGTGGCTTCGGGACAAGTCTCTGAATGTCCTTGAGTGGCCCAGCTAGAGCCCGGACTTGAACCCGATCGAACATCTCTGGAGAGATCTGAAAATAGCTGTGCAGCAACGCTCCCCATCCAACCTGACAGAGCTTGAGAGGATCTGCAGTGAAGAATGGGAGAAACTCCCCAAATACATTTGTGCCAAGCTTGTAGCGTCATACCCCATTATGGGGTATTGTGTGTGTATATTGATGAGTAAAACAACAACAATTTAATCCATTTTCGAATAAGGCTGTAATGTAACAAAATGTGGAAAATGTCACGGGGTCTGAATACTTTCTGAATGCGCTGTATATCCATAAAAATGATGCCAGCTGATTCATGATTTCGACTGGCTGAGAAATGCTGCCTGCCTGTCTGTCTCGTCCCGACATGTTCATTACTATGGGACAGCTGGAGATCGAATTTGAATATTGAAATAATGTTGCAAATGTCAGAGAGATCGACAGCAAGGTTTATACAAATCTCCGCTGTTGAAAACTAAATGTTAGTCTAAAAGAAATGTGAGAATGTCTAGATGCTTTTTATAGTGGAGATCAAGTTTATAAAGTGCCTGGCTGGGCTGATGAGACAGTGGATTGCGCAGTCAGATGGAACAGAGTAAATAGGCATTTTAATGTTATAGATTTAGCCGGTGGTATTTTATGGAATAGACACTGGCTGGAATGCAGTTTTAACCAATTAGCATTCAGGATTAGACCCACCTGTTGTATAAAACCCCTTAATCACTACACAACAATATACACTGCTCAAAAAAATAAAGGGAACACTAAAATAACACATCCTAGATCTGAATGAATGAAATAATCTTATGAAATACTTTTTTCTTTACATAGTTGAATGTGCTGACAACAAAATCACACAAAAATGATCAATGGAAATCAAATCTATCAACCCATGGAGGTCTGGATTTGGAGTCACCCTCAAAATTAAAGTGGAAAACCACACTACAGGCTGATCCAACTTTGATGTAATGTCCTTAAAACAAAGTGAGGCTCAGTAGTGTGTGTGGCCTCCACGTGCCTGTATGACCTCCCTACAACGCCTGGGCATGCTCCTGATGAGGTGGCGGATGGTCTCCTGAGGGATCTCCTCCCAGACCTGGACTAAAGCATCCGCCAACTCCTGGACAGTCTGTGGTGCAACGTGGCGTTGGTGGATGGAGCGAGACATGATGTCCCAGATGTGCTCAATTGGATTCAGGTCTGGGGAACGGGCGGGCCAGTCCATAGCATCAATGCCTTCCTCTTGCAGGAACTGCTGACACATTCCAGCCACATGAGGTCTAGCATTGTCTTGCATTAGGAGGAACCCAGGGCCAACCGCACCAGCATATGGTCTCACAAGGGGTCTGAGGATCTCATCTCAGTACCTAATGGCAGTCAGGCTACCTCTGGCGAGCACATGGAGGGCTGTGCGGCCCCTCAAAGAAATACCACCCCACACCATGACTGACCCACCGCCAAACCGGTCATGCTGGAGGATGTTGCAGGCAGCAGAACGTTCTCCACGGCGTCTCCAGACTCTGTCACGTCTGTCACATGTGCTCAGTGTGAACCTGCTTTCATCTGTGAAGAGCACAGGGCGCCAGTGGCGAATTTGCCAATCTTGGTGTTCTCTGGCAAATGCCAAACGTCCTGCACGGTGTTGGGCTGTAAGCACAACCCCCACCTGTGGACGTCGGGCCCTCATACCACCCTCATGGAGTCTGTTTCTGACCGTTTGAACAGACACATGCACATTTGTGGCCTGCTGGAGGTCATTTTGCAGGGCTCTGGCAGTGCTCCTCCTGCTCCTCCTTGCACATAAGGTGGAGGTAGCAGTCCTGCTGCTGGGTTGTTGCCCTCCTACGGCCTCCTCCACGTCTCCTGATGTACCTCCATGCTCTGGACACTACGCTGACAGACACAGCAAACCTTTTTCCACAGGTCGCATTGATGTACCATCCTGGATGAGCTGCACTACCTGAGCCACTTGTGTGGGTTGTAGACTCCGTCTCATGCTACCACTAGAGTGAAAGCACCGCCAGCATTCAAAAGTGACCAAAACATCAGCCAGGAAGCATGGGAACTGAGAAGTGGTCTGTGGTCACCACCTGCAAAACCAGTCCTTTATTGGGTGTGTCTTGCTAATTGCCTATAATTTCCACCTGTTGTCTATTCCATTTGCACAACAGCATGTGAAATGTATTGTCAATCAGTGTTGCTTCCTACGTGGACAGTTTGATTTCACAGAAGTGTGATTGACTTGGAGTTACATTGTGTTGTTTAAGTGTTCCCTTTATTTTTTTGAGCAGTGTATATGTTTTTAAATAACATTCTTAGAAATGTTTTACTTTTTTAATTTTTAATTTCACCTTTATTTAACCAGGTAAGCCAGTTGAGAACAAGTTCTCATTTACAACTTCGACCTGGCCAAGATAAAGCAAAGCAGTGCGATAAAAACAACAACACAGAGTTACATATGGGGTAAACAAAACATAGTCAAAAATACAACAGAAAAGATATATACAGTGTGTGCGAATGTAGTAAGTTATGGAGGTAAGGCAATAAATAGGCCATAGTGCAAAATTGTTACAATTTCGTATTAACACTGGAATGATAGATGTGCAAAAGATGATGTGCAAATAGAGATACGGGGGTGCAAAATTAGCAAAAAAAATAACAATATGGGGATGAGGTAGTTGGGTGGGCTAATTTCAGAATGGCTGTGTACAGGTGCAGTGATCGGTAAGCTGCTCTGACAATTGAAGCTTAAAGTTAGTGAGGGAGATAAGAGTCTCCAGCTTCAGAGATTTTTGCAGTTCGTTCCAGTCATTGGTATCAGAGAACTGGAAGGAATGGCGGCCAAAGGAGGTGTTGGCTTTGTGGATGACCAGTGAGATATACCTGCTGGAGCGCAGACTACGGGTGGGTGTTGCTATGGTGACCAGTGAGCTAAGATAAGACAGGGATTTGCCTAGCAGTGATTTATAGATGACCTGGAGCCAGTGGGTTTGGCGACGAATATGTAGTGAGGGCCAGCCAACAAGAGCGTACAGGTCACAATGGTGGGTAGTATATGGGGCTTTGGTGAAAAAACGGATGGCACTGTGATAGACTACATCCAATTTTCTGAGTAGAGTGTTGGAGGCTATTTTGTAAATGACATCGCCGAAGTCAAGGATCGGTAGGATAGTCAGTTTTATGAGGGCATGTTTGGCAGCATGAGTGAAGGAGGCTTTGTTGCGAAATAGGAAGCCGATTCTAGATCTAACTTTTGATTGGAGATGCTTGATGTGAGTCTGGAAGGAGAGTTTACAGTCTAACCAGACACCTACGTATTTGTAGTTGTCCACATACTCTAGGTCAGACCCACCGAGAGTAGTGATTCTAGTCGGGTGGGCGGGTACAAGCAGCGTTCGGTTGAAGAGCATGCATTTAGTTTTACTAGAGTTTAAGAGCAGTTGGAGGCTACGGAAGGAGTGTTGTATGGCATTGAAGCTCGTTTGGAGGTTTGTTAACACAGTGTCCAATGAAGGGCCAGATGTATACAAAATGGTGTCGTCCGCATAGAGGTGGATCCGAGCGTCACCAGCAGCAAGAGCGACATCATTGATATACACAGAGAATAGAGTCAGCCCGAGAATTGAACCCTGTGGCACCCCCATAGAGACGGCCAGAGGTCCAGACAACAGGCCCTCCGATTTGACACATTGAACTCTATCTGAGAAGTAGTTGGTGAACCAGGCGAGGCAGTCATTAGAGAAACCAAGGCTATTTAGTCTGCCGATAAGAATACGGTGGTTGACAGAGTCGAAAGCCTTGGCCAGGTCGATGAAGACGGCTGCATTGTACTGTCTTTTTTATCGATCGCGGTTATAATATCGTTTAGGACCTTGAGCGTGGCTGAGGTGCACCCATGACCAGCTCGGAAACCGGATTGCATAGCGAAGAAGGTACGGCGGGATTCTAAATGGTCGGTGATCTGTTTGTTAACTTGGCTTTCAAATACTTTCGAAAGGCAGGGCAGGATGGATATAGGTCTGTAACAGTTTGGATCTAGAGTGTCATCCCCTTTGAAGAGGGGGATGACCGCAGCAGCTTCCCAATCTCTGGGGATCTCAGACGTTACGAAAGAGAGGTTGAACAGGCTAGTAATAGGGGTGGGGGGGGGCCGGGGAATGGGCAAGTTGCAGCGGAGGGTGCAGAGTTGGTGGCCAGGGTAGTGGTAGCCAGGTGGAAAGCATGGCCAGCCGTAGCAAAATGCTTGTTGAAATTCTCTATTATTGTAGATTTATCGGTGGTGACAGTGTTTCCTAGCCTCAGTGCAGTGGGCAGTTGGGAGGAGCTGCTCTTATTTTCCATGGGCTTTACAGTGTCCCAAAACTTTTTAGAGTTAGTGCTACAGGATGCACATTTCTGTTTGAAAAAGCTAGCCTTTGCTTTCCTAACTGATTGTGTATATTGGTTCCTGACTTCCCTAAAAAGTTGCATATTGCGGGGGCTGTTCGATGCTAATGCAGTACGTTTAGTACTGAACATTACTAAAGCTTTCTTGTGTTTTTTTATGGAAAGTTTTCTTAACATTCTCTGATTAATTTGAGAACATGACTTTAAATAAAACCATGAGGAAACCTGTAGGAAATGTTTTGCTGAAGTACTGAAATTCCCACAGAATAACGTTGTTTCTTAACATTCCCAATGTCAAACCAGTTGGAGAATGTGCCCTAGAACATTACCCAAATTGAAATGAAATCTAACCATGTTTGAACTTTTCGAAAACGTTCTGATAAAGTAATGAAATACCAAGAAAATAACACTTTTGTTGTTAAGTTCCTTAAATATGCTGAGAATGTTGCAAAGCCAAACCACTGGGAACAGATGTCATTTTGACTTCTAGTTTTGATTAAGATTTGGTTGAGTTAACTAACATCCATTCAACATGAAATCAACAAAAAAATGTCACCATGCCATTGGATTTATGTTAAAAGTTGGGTGAAAAAATAACGATTCTCTAATGTTGATGACTTTTTGCAAATTCAATCAGTTTTCTGTTGAAATGACGTGGAAACAAAGTTGATTCAACAAGTTTTTGCACAGTGGGAAGTAACTATCCTGAACCATTCCCAGAAAGTTGTGGGAAGGTTATATGCAAAATAACCATAGGACAACCACGCTCTCACCAAGTTCTAAAAAAACGTATGGTTCTCTGAACGTTATGTGCTAGTGTAACAGAAGAAAGAACGTGCTGTATGCTCACTCCACAGCTAGATTGAAATGTTGCGTGCAATTTATGTCAGTCACTGACAGTCACTCATTTAGCCATGTCAGCTAACAATGTTTAGATTGGTAGTTAATCTAGCCAGCTATCTGAACTTGTAGTAATCACGGCCGAATACCGACTGGGCATGCAGGGCACGTGCCCAGGGCCCCGACCTCAGGAGGGCCCCCCATTGATTCTCATTCAGATATCATATTAACATGACATAGTTTAAGCTGCAAGGTGGGCTATCTAGTTCCCGCCAATCATTTCTTTGGATTGGTTGATACATCTCATTATTGTAATCTTATTTGAAAATTCGATGAGAGTTGACGTCAACCGCCTGTATTCAATGGAGAGAGACGCTATGCTACTACTCATGAATATGCATAGCCATCTTGAGACAACTCCGATATAAAGTGTTTTTTCTCAAAGTTGCCGTGATGTCACGTGTCGTACATATATCAGTACACGCGTAACAACTTAAGCATCACAAACTTCTATTCAATCAAATAAACCTCACATAGCTAATTGGACACTCTCATTGACCTCCACACAAAAACGTATTACTTGGTGGGCGAAACAACGAAAAAACGCCACCTGCTGGAGGGAGACAGATTCTCCGCCGAGTTGGGCCTCTCTCTTCCTCTCTCGCTCGAACCAGGCTCGAACCAACGATGTGGGTTTATATACGTCAATAGCTCGAACGCGCCCACAGGAATCCCATAATGCAACGTGCAGAAAATAATAATAAACAATAATTCATTGATGGCAGCTGACAATGACGTGAGTACAGTACTTGTGTACAGTCAATAAAGTAAACATTGCATTAACAATGTTTGGAAAAATATAGGATGTTAACGTTAGATGTTCCTTTCGGTTGCAGCCCGAGTCAGAGGTATTCGAGATCACGGACTTCACCACCGCGTCGGAGTGGGAGAGGTAGCTAGGTGAAGTTCTCTGGCTAGCTACTGTAACTAACTAACTAGCTAGCTAAGTTAGCTAACAACAGTTGTGAATCATCATCAGGCTCAGACTAGATATAAGAATTGGATTAGAAGCTATTCGTGAGTGGCCAAATATAGTTCGGATGCTGAGTATATGGCAGACAACTTGCTTGTCTCCTCTTGTTCTGTCAATCACATTGTTTAATCGGCTAGCTATGCTGGTTTGGATTGTATTTTGTTTGTAGCTTACCCATAGTGTAGTTAGCTGTCCTGTCACATCAGGATTGCGAAAGATAGTAACCGTCCTTACCAATGTTGACAGCTGACAGCCCTAGATATCTCTTCCTTATCAACAGTATTACCTGTAAGGACCACGTAATAGATTGTATCGTGTGCACGCATGTTTGTGTGAACACTATTCTCTGACTTCTGCAGGAACTGTATTACAGGAACATGATGTTATGATCCCCCTGTCTGTCGTTTGCTAGGTTTATGTCCAGAGTAGAAGAGGTGCTGAATGACTGGAAGCTAATTGGGAACAATGCAAGCAAACCACCAGAGAAGGTAACAACAAACCCTCACTCAATAAGACCTTACTGTTATGTCACAAGCACCACACATTAATAAGCAGCCATCCGGTAAGCTTGTTGAATTAATTAATGGATTTCCTGATTGCCCACTAGATCCAGAGTGAATATACCAGTGGTACCTGGGAGGAGAAGACCCAGGAAATCAACTTTGCTGTTTTTAAATTCTCCGTAACCCACCACTACCTGAAGCAAGTGTCTGAGGAGAGCGAGGGGAAGGAGGAACCGGAGGAGGGTACAGTGCTGCTGCAGAGTTTATTTACAGTCCCTGTTATCTTATCTGTCTCATAGGAACAGTCACTACGTGATGAGACTATATTGATGACCTCTACAGTTTTATCTGGAACACTGCTCTGCTCTTTAGCAACAGAGAGAATCTTAGTGGATATGAGATATTAGAGAATATAGGTGAAGTCTCCACCCTGCTCTCTCCCCATATGCCTTCCCCATGGCCATGCAGGACTTGCTCTGTATGAACAATGACTTCCCTCCCAGAGCCCACTGCCTCATCAGATGGTGAGTACAGTACTCCAGGTCTCCTCTCCCTAACCTCTAACCTTTACCTCAAATCTTTATGTTAAGATGGTGAATTAAAATGTCTCAAGACAGACATTCACAACTGCTATTGATATTTGTTGACACCAAATCTGTCTGATGTCTGATATTTTTTAGAATATACACTACCAGTCAGCAGTTTGGACACACCTACTCATTCAAGAGTTTTTCTTTATTTTTACTATTTTTTACATTGTAGAATAATAGTGAATACATCAAAACTATGAAATAACACATATGGAATCAAGTAGTAACCAAAGAAGTGTTAAACAAATCCAAATATATTTTATATTTGAGATTCTTCAAATAGCCACCCCCTTTGCGTTGATGACAACTTTGCACACGCTTGGCATTCTCTCAACCAGCTTCATGAGGTATTCACCTGGAATGCATTTCAATTAACAGGTGTGCCTTCTAAAAAGTTAATTTGTGGAATTTCTTTCCTCCTTAATGTGTTTGAGCCAATCAGTTGTGTTGCGACAAAGAAACCACTACTAAAGGACACAAATAAGAAGAAGAGACCTGCTTGGGTCAAGAAACACGAGCAATGGACATTAGACCGGTGGAAATTTGTCCTTTGGTCTGGAGTCCAAATTTGAGATTTTTGGTTCCAACCGGCGTGTCTTTGTGAGACGTGGTGTGGGTGAACGGATGGTCTCTGATAGTGGGACTATAATTTGTTTTTCAACAGGACAATGACCCAACACACCTCCAGGCTGTGTAAGGGCTATTTTACCAAGAAGGAGAGTGATGGAGTGCTGCATCAGATGACCTGGTCTCCACAATCCCCCGACCTCAACCCAATTGTGATGGTTTGGGATGATTCGGACGGCAGAGTGAAGGAAAAGCAGCCAACAAGTGCTCAGCATATGTGGGAACTCCTTCAAGACTGTTGGAAAAGCATTCCAGGTGAAGCTGGTTGAGAGAATGCCAAGCGTGTGCAAAGTTGTCATCAATGCAAAGGGTGACTTTTTGAAGAATCTCAAATATAAAATATATTTTGATTTGTTTAACACTTTTTTGGTTACTACATGATTCCTTATGTGTTATTTAATAGTTTTGATGTCTTCACTATTATCCTACAATGTAGAAAATAGTAAAAATAAAGAAAAACCCTTGAATGAGTAGGTGTGTCCAAACTTTTGACTGGTACTGTATATTATGGAGGTTCTAGTTTGACCTGACTTGATGGATGGTATAGTAGCTGTCTGCTCTCATTTAAAGCAGCAATATGTCATTTTTGGGGCGACCTGACCAAATTCACATAGAAATGTGAGTTATATACGTGTCATTCTCATTGAAAGCAAGTCTAGGAAGCGTTAGATCTGTTCTACAGTGAGCTCCAAAAGTATTGGGACAGTGATATTATATGTTGTTGTTTTGGGTCTGTACTCCAACACTTTGGGTTTGAAATGATACAATGACTATGAGGTTAAAGTGCAGACTGTCAGCTTTAATTTGAGGTATTTCCATCCATTTCGGGTGAACCGTTTATAAATGACAGAACCTTTTGTACAGGGGACCAAAAGTATTCTGACAAATTCACTTATGTGTATTTGGTCCTATATTCATAGCACGAAATGACTCCATCAGGCTTGTGACTCTACACATTTGTTGGATGCATTTGCTGTTTGTTCTAGATGTGTTTCAGATTATTTTGTGTCTAATAAAAATGAATGGTAAATAATGTATTGTGTCATTTTGGAGTCACTTTTATTGTAAATAAGAATATAATATTTTTCTAAACATTTCTACAGTACATTAATGTGGATGCTAACATGATTACGGATAATCCTGAATGAATCGTGAATTACGATGAGTGAGAAAGTTACAAACGCACAAATATCAGAGATGCTAACCTCTCACAATTACAATAACGGGAGGTTAGCATTTTTTGGGGGGTATGATATTTGTGAGTCTGTAACTTTCTCACTCATCATTATTTACGATTCATTCAGGATTATCCGTAATCATGGTAGCATCCACGTTAATGTTGAAGTGTTTAGAAACATATTCTATTCTAATTTGCAGGAAAAGTGACTCCAAAATTACACAATATATTATTTACCATTCATTTCTATTGGTCACAAAATAATCTAAAACAGAACCAAAACAAACAGCAAATGCATCCAACAAAAACAGGGGGACTATGTATAATATGCTGTAATTTCTAAACGGTTCACCCGAAATGGATGAAAATACCCTCAAATTAAAGCTGACAGTCTGCACTTTAACATCATAGTCATTGTATCGTTTCAAATCCAATGTGCTGGAGTACAGAGCCAAAACAAACAAAACGTGTCACTGTCTCAATACTTTTGGAGGTCACTGTATGTGTGCTATTTCTATGCTTCCCAATCTTCAGTTTAGTTTTTGCATCTTTTACATTCATTTTGGACACCAGCTTCAAACAGCTGAAAATACAATATTTTTGGTAATGGAAAATATATTTCACAACGGTTTAGATGGTACAATGATTCTCTACACAATGACTGCTTGTTTTGTCACATAAACTGAAATTAGGCAAACTATTCAAATTTTAGCAACTAAGAAATAGCAGAGAGATTTCTGCATATTGCACCTTTTAAGTATCCCGTCTGTGTTTGCAGGTATGGCATGTGTGAGTTTGTGGTCATCTCCCCTGGGACCAGCTGTGAGGCGGTCATCAGTGAGTCCAAGTGCAACCTGCTCCTCAGCTCCGTTTCCATCTCTATGGCCAACACAGGCTGGCAGGTGACAATAGCTCCATCTCTCTGGCCAACACAGGCTGGCAGGTGACAGTAGCTCCATCTCTATGGCCAACACAGGCTGGCAGGTGACAGTAGCTCCATCTCTCTGGCCAACACAGGCTGGCAGGTGACAGTAGCTCCATCTCTCTGGCCAACACAGGCTGGCAGGTGACAGTAGCTCCATCTCTATGGCCAACACAGGCTGGCAGGTGACAGTAGCTCCATCTCTCTGGCCAACACAGGCTGGTAGGTGACAGTAGCTCCATCTCTCTGGCCAACACAGGCTGGCAGGTGACAGTAGCTCCATCTCTCTGGCCAACGCAGGTGACAGTAGCTCCATCTCTCTGGCCAACACAGGCTGGCAGGTGACAGTAGCTCCATCTCTCTGGCCAACACAGGCTGGTAGGTGACAGTAGCTCAGAGTAGAGGTATTCACAGATCCACCTGTACCCGATCCGGGACCAGAGCGGGTCTGGATCTAGAATTCTAAATAATGTCACGGGTCTGGGTCGGATCTGATCTGACATGATTGTCACGGGTCTCGGGTATGTGTAATTTTAACTGTACAGATCCGAACAGGACTGCTGCAGTAGAGAGAGGGGGAGAGAGATTGGATCATTTATGCTGCTGCGCTTTCTTTTCATGAGAGTGTAGCTTGTTGTTGTTGTTGTTGGCCAATCATAGGTCATCAAAGCGGCAATAGGCTACATTCATAGAGCCTCGCTCCTTGTGTGGCAAAAGTTAGGAGATATCTAATCAATGGAAGATGGAATTAAAATGATGGAGTTAAAGGAGAAGGATAGGCTACAATGACCACGAGCCAACAGGTAGGCTGCTACTTAATGTTCTGAATGGAGTTGTTGTTGTTTGTACCTGTGTAGGACGAGAAAGCGCATGCAGCCTCAATTAGCCTAGCTATCTAGCTAGCTTAACTAGCTTCTCCCGTTTGATGCAGTCAAGACAGGTACTACGTAATCATATTGGATGATAAATAACCTAGCTATGGTCGTTGTTAGTCTACTATAGCGCGAGTCTGCGTGGTTGGTTGATGTCCTTCCTCCCTGTTCCCAGCGTCACTCACTCACAGTAGCCTACACACACAGTACGCACGGCCCCTGCTAGAGCGGCACCTCTCTCTACGTCCTCTCCCTCGTGTTTTATGAGCTCCGGTTAGTAAAGTAGCTTAAAAATAGCCTTTTCTGCTGCTTCCATCACTCGGATCGGACCGGGTCTGGATCCAACCAGGTCTATAGGGAACGAGTCTAGTTGTCCTCGGGTCCGTTCAGAACGGGTCTCTATATTTAAAAAATAAATGTATGCATATTGGGTCCGGGTGGAAAAGCCCCAGGTCCATTTCGTGAAGGGCCGCTTGCCCAGAGCAACATCTTTCTGGCCAACACAGGCTGGTAGGTGACCGTAGCTCAGAGCAACAGTGAATACTATATTCAGCAAATATTATATTCCTGTCTCTTTGGGAACAGTAACTGTTATGGTTATAAGTCACAGTTATACAACAACTGTTTATGTTCTTTTGTAAAATCAAGTTAATGTTGGTTACAGAATTTGCTTTGACAACTAAAAGGAGCTGATACTGCCAATGTGTCCTATTCCTAATCATGAATCTACGCTAAGGGAAAACAACGTCAGTTCTTACACATTCACACAGCTAGTGGCAACATGCCCATTGTGTGTATTTCTGTATAATATCACAAGCCATGTTTTAAAATAGCAACACTGTGGGAAGTGAGTACAGCCCTCTGTGACATCCTATAGGTCAGCTGGTATCCATGGCAATGCTGGACTGAATGGAAGATGGTAGCAGTGTGACTCTGTAGTAGCAGCAAGGCCATCTGGTCTCCCACTGTCTCTGGGTGTTTACTGTGTGGCAGAGAGACATTAATAACACATTTATTAGATTAGGACGAACAGGAGGAAGCATGTAGCAGAACATCAGAACATAGCTTCAAGTTCATTTATTGCATGAGCACGTGTTCTGTCACTAATGCATGTATCATTTATTGCAAATAATGTTATGTTGTGACTTCAAATTAGAAAAATTATGACATTGTTGAATAGAATAATATTCAAGGTCAGTATGGGGGGGGGAAAGTATGAAAATGTATGCACTCAGTACTGAAAGTCGCTCTGGATAAGAGTGTCTGCTAAATGACTAACATGTAAATGTAAAAAATTAACAAGGCTTGTATTAAATTATCTAATTGATCAATCCACTAGGTGGCGTATGTTTTGTCTGTAGTTCCTCTACTGTGCACCAGGAGCTGCTGTGTAGCCGTGGTAGAACAGGGATGTGGAGGGAGTTACAGGGTCTGTGTAGCCGTGGTAGAACAGGGTTGTGGAGGGAGTTACAGGGTCTGTGTAGCCGTGGTAGAACAGGGATGTGGAGGGAGTTACAGGGTCTGTGTAGCCGTGATAGAACAGGGTTGTGGAGGGAGTTACAGGGTCTGTGTAGCCGTGGTAGAACAGGGATGTGGAGGGAGTTACAGGGTCTGTGTAGCCGTGGTAGAACAGGGTTGTGGAGGGAGTTACAGGGTCTGTGTAGCCGTGGTAGAACAGGGATGTGGAGGGAGTTACAGGGTCTGTGTAGCCGTGGTAGAACAGGGATGTGGAGGGAGTTACAGGGTCTGTGTAGCCGTGGTAGAACAGGGATGTGGAGGGAGTTACAGGGTCTGTGTAGCCGTGGTAGAACAGGGTTGTGGAGGGAGTTACAGGGTCTGTGTAGCCGTGGTAGAACAGGGATGTGGAGGGAGTTACAGGGTCTGTGTAGCCGTGGTAGAACAGGGTTGTGGAGGGAGTTACAGGGTCTGTGTAGCCGTGGTAGAACAGGGATGTGGAGGGAGTTACAGGGTCTGTGTAGCCGTGGTAGAACAGGGTTGTGGAGGGAGTTACAGGGTCTGTGTAGCCGTGGTAGAACAGGGTTGTGGAGGGAGTTACAGGGTCTCAGTGTGGCTGCCCTTCCACACTGAGACCAGAGATGCCTGGCATGTCTCTAAAGTTAAAGGGATCACTTCAAAATCAAACATCATCTGTTGTGCAGCTCCAAATGTATACCTCAATCCCAAACCAATGGAAAGATTAGTCAAATCTGAAATGATTAAACTTTGCTTATCTTTCTATAGCTGGATCTTCACAGCTGATGGCATGTGACATTAACTCATCTTGACACAAGAACAGAGAGTAGTTACAGTAGCCCAGGATTTAAACGTGTGGCTGCTCTCCCACAAAACATAAAAACAAGATTTTGGAGTGACCTACCCTTTTTTAAAGTCCTCTACCTCCCCTGTCCCTGTGGATGCTGTACAGCCAGGTGCCAATGTTTGTCCAGATCCAGCAGAAGTGGTGGAGGATGTACCATGGGGAGTGCCAGGGACCAGGGGTGCTTACCGACTTTGAGATGGTCCACCTCCGCAAGGTGCCCAGCCAGTACAACCACCTCTCAGGCCTGCTGGACATCTTCAAGTCCAAGATGGTGAGTATGGAAGGACCTGGTCTTGTGACTATATGCCTTACCTTAACCTATTAGCTCTTTCACATGGGTCACCCCAAAATAATTGGTTTCCCTGAATGAGAGTAAGTCTAGTGTTAGACTAAGATTCACTTTCAATGGTGAATCTTCATTAAGCATGGTTCTTTGTCCAGGACTAGGCTGAACTTTTGTCTGGGCTCCCAGCCCCTACAATTCAATTCTGTGCTAGATATGATGGATAGTATCAGCTATTACATAACCGTGTCTCTTTATGTTTCTGTCTCTTTCCTCTCCTCCCTCTTTCTTGTCTCTTTCCTCTGTTGTTCTCCAGGGCTGTCCCCTGTCTCCTCTGCCTCCCATCAACATTGCTATCCGCTTCACGTATGTCCTGCAGGACTGGCAGCAGTACTCCTGGCCTCAGCAGCCCCCTGGTACACACAACAACAACAACACAACCACACAGCCCACTAAACAGGAAGGAATGGGTTTAGTTATTAGTGCCGCTGACTCTGGCACACTTATACAGTGGGGAGAACAAGTATTTGATACACTGCCGATTTTGCAGGTTTTCCTACTTACAAAGTATGTAGAGGTCTGTAATTTTTATCATAGGTACACTTCAACCGTGAGAGACGGAATCTAAAACAAAAATCCAGAAAATTACATTGTATGATTTTTAAGTAATGCATTTGCATTTTATTGCATGACATAAGTATTTGATACATCAGAAAAGCAGAACTTAATATTTGGTACAGAAACCTTTGTTTGCAATTACAGAGATCATACGTTTCCTGTAGGTCTTGACCAGGTTTGCACACACTGCAGCAGGGATTTTGGCCCACTCCTCCATACAGACCTTCTCCAGATCCTTCAGGTTTCGGGGCTGTCGCTGGGCAAAACGGACTTTCAGCTCCCTCCAAAGATTTTCTATTGGGTTCAGGTCTGGAGACAGGCTAGGCCACTCCAGGACCTTGAGATGCTTCTTACGGAGCCACTCCTTAGTTGCCCTGGCTGTGTGTTTCGGGTCGTTGTCATGCTGGAAGACCCAGCCACGACCCATCTTCAATGCTCTTACTGAGGGAAGGAGGTTGTTGGCCAAGATCTCGCGATACATGGCCCCATCCATCCTCCCCTCAATACGGTGCAGTCGTCCTGTCCACCTTTGCAGAAAAGCATCCCCAAAGAATGATGTTTCCACCTCCATGCTTCACGGTTGGGATGGTGTTCTTGGGGTTGTACTCATCCTTCTTCTTCCTCCAAACACGGCAGGTGGAGTTTAGACCAAAAAGCTCTATTTTTGTCTCATCAGACCACATGACCTTCTCCCATTCCTCCTCTGGATCATCCAGATGGTCATTGGCAAACTTCAGATGGGCCTGGACATGCGCTGGCTTGAGCAGGGGGACCTTGCGTGCGCTGCAGGATTTTAATCCATGACGGCGTAGTGTGTTACTAATGGTTTTCTTTGAGACTGTGGTCCCAGCTCTCTTCAGGTCATTGACCAGGTCCTGCCGTGTAGTTCTGGGCTGATCCCTCACCTTCCTCATGATCATTGATGCCCCACGAGGTGAGATCTTGCATGGAGCCCCAGACCGAGGGTGATTGACCGTCATCTTGAACTTCTTCAATTTTCTAATAATTGCGCCAACAGTTTTTGCCTTCTCACCAAGCTGCTTGCCTATTGTCCTGTAGCCCATCCCAGCCTTGTGCAGGTCTACAATTTTATCCCTGATGTCCTTACACAGCTCTCTGGTCTTGGCCATTGTGGAGAGGTTGGAGTCTGTTTTATTGAGTGTGTGGACAGGTGTCATTTATACAGGTAACGAGTTCAGACAGGTGCAGTTAATACAGGTAATGAGTGGAGAACAGGAGGGCTTCTTAAAGAAAAACTAACAGGTCTGTGAGAGCCGGAATTCTTACTGGTTGGTAGGTGATCAAATACTTAAGTCATGCAATAAAATGCAAATTAATTACTTAAAAATCATACAATGTGATTTTCTGGATTTTTGTTTTAGATTCCGTCTCTCACAGTTGAAGTGTACCTATGATAAATATTACAGACCTCTACATGCTTTGTAAGTAGGAAAACCTGCAAAATCGGCAGTGTATCAAATACTTGTTCTCCCCACTGTATACCAGAGTCGATGTGGGTTTGAATCCAGCCCACTGCCCTTCTAACTCGCCCAGTCGCACTCCTCCTACCTTACCTGTCTGCTCTTATAAAACCTCATCCTGTCTGTTCAGTAAAACCACATCCTATTTGTACAGTAAAACCACATCCTGTCTGTTCAGTAAAACCACATCCTGTCTGTTCAGTAAAATCACATCCTAACTGTTCAGAAAAAACAACATCCTGTCTGTTCAGTAAAACCACAAAATATGAAACAGGAAGGAGCTAGGAAGGCAACAGATGTCAATTCAGAAATCTAAACAGTGCTAGGCATACAGTGGGGTCTGAAGTTATTGACACTCTTGATAAAGATGAGAAAAAATGACTGTATACAATAAATCATTCAAATACAGAGCTATATTGTATGCAAAACAAAATGTGGAAAATATATAATTTTATATTAATACAATTGCACAGAGAAATATATTTTGTTTAACAAGTAATACTTTTTTTCTCTCAAAAAGGTAGGGGTCAAAATGATTGACACCCCTGTTTTCAATACCTTTCAATACTTCACCTTGCAAGGATAACGGCATTGAGCCTTTTTCTAAAATGTTTTATGAGTTGTTGAACACATTGAGAGGGATCTTAGACCATTCCTCCTTACATAATCCTTCCAGATCCTTGATATCCTTTGTCTGCGCTTATGGACTGCCCTCTTCAATTCAAGCCACAGGTTTTCAATGGATTTCAAGTCCAGAGACTGAAATGGCCATTGCATGTTGATTTTGTGGCCAATTAACAATTTCTTTGTGGATTTTGATGTGTGCTTGGGGTTATTGTCTTTCTGGAAGATCCACTTGCGGCCAAGTTTCAGGGTCCTGGCAGAGGCAACCAGGTTTTTGGCTAAAATGTCCTGGTACTGGGTAAAGTTTGACTCCCGAGTGGCACAGGGGTCTAAGGCACTGCATCGCATTGCTAGCTGTGCCACTGGTTCGAGTCCAGGCTCTGTCGCAGCCGGCCGCGACCGGGAGACCCATGGGCGGCGCACAATTGGTCCAGCGTCGTCCAAGGTAGGGGAGGGTTTGGCCGGCAGGGATGTGGGTTTGTTTACCACGGGGGGCCAGTATAAAAAAATAAAAAAATAAAATGTATGCCTTCACTAACTGTAAGTCGCTCTGGATAAGAGCGTCTGCTAAATGACTAAAATGTCAAATGTAGTTCAGGATGCTGTCGACCTTAACAAGGACCCCAGGAGCAGTGGAAGCAAAATAGCATACAATATAGCAATACAATATAGCTCAGTATTTGTTTTATACAGTCATCATAATCAAGGGTGTCAATAATTGCAGACCCCTCTAACCCTAACCCACAGGGTATATTGGAAGCTTTGCTTTCAACGCCTCCATGCGCATGACCAACTCTTTAGCAAACTGATATAATCCACTCACTCTCTCTTTGCTCCAAATTAAATAGTGGATGATTCTTCCCACAGTTATGTTAAGTGCTGCTCTCCGGGGTACATTTTAGTGTTGCAAATAGATGCTTGAGTCTTTGAGTGGCGCAGGGAAGGCGGTAAAAGGTTGGAGGTCGGAGAGCTTTTTAAATGGCTCACAAACGGACAACATTTCTGCTCCTGTTGAATGGGAGCTGAGAGGAATGGTAGTGGGTGGAGGGTCAATTTGAGGTTTTTATATTTGACACCAGAGTATATTTGGTCCTTTAGTTTTTATTGTTATGAATTTGCCTGCCTTCAAGGCATTGAGGATGAAATAGCATAGGAAGTGTTTGCAGTTTTGGTTCTTCTTGCTACTTCTAAGTGAAAGTATTGGGAGTTGAATCAAAGTCATGTTTAAACAGTAAAGGTGAAAGCGTGTTTTTTTCCCGTCACCTCCAGACTTTGACGCTCTCCTCGGAGGTGAGGTGGGAGGGGTGGAGTTCGGGAAGCTGCCGTTCGGAGCATGTGAGGATCCAATCAGGTAGGACTGATGTAGCCATGACGATAAGTCAACGCATGCTTGATTTAGTGATTTACCTCATCGTTCACGTGTATTCTTTACGTCTTTGGCATGAGCCTTTCATTCATTGTTGACCAAATTGTGTATCTCATATAGTGAAGTTTATTACGCAAAACAAACAAATCTGTATTTTCTTTCATTGTTGTCTCAGTGAGCTTCACCTAGTGACCACCTGGCCCCACCTGACAGAAGGTATCGTGGTGGATAACGATGTGTACTCGTGAGTATCAACCAGAAAACTCCCTCGCTCTCTGCCCTCTGGCCTGCTGGTTGACAGAACATCTCAACAGCCTGAGATATGATCTATCAAGGACATTGTTTGTCCTCTTACCAAATGACAGGTATTCGGACAGCAAAGATAAAGGTGTCATTTTCAGTAAATAGAATCAGTGAGCATTGAGGTAGACGGGGAGAGAGAAAGAACATCCAGGTCAGTAAAACAAGTTCTCCATACGTTTGGAACACTGTGAAAGGTTGTTACCCATATTAATTTCCTGTGTGCCAGACAGTGTAGGTGTTGAGAGGGTGGTTGTGGAGGAGGTGTGTGGGAGAGGATATAACAAGTAGCTCAGCCCCACCAACACCGCTCGCTCGTTGAACTGCATTAAAGCTGAAATTAATTCATGCTGAATGATTTTACGCTTTTCAGTTTAGTGATGAAATGGTGCTCAGTGAGCCATCGCTTCATATTAACAGTGTGCTTGTGTTTTTCTTTAAGTCCCTACATCCTAAATGTGCATGAGCTTCACTGTATAAAGATGTAGAGATGGATCCTAGGCTCTTTGAAGGGAATCAAAGATATCTGCATCTGGATGCAGAAAAATGTTGATTAGCCCTGTCAAAGACAAGATAGTCCTCTGTTTTTTGGGTTTATTTTGATGGTTGTATTTATTGTTGAATCCCCTTAGGGTGTTCTAGGGTAGAAATGTTAGACATAATATTTTGGGGTTTTACAAAAGATGTGACTTGCCTCGGGTCAACTGAAATGGTACCCTCCCTGTCTGACTGACTGGGTAATAGAGATTATATGGCAACTGATACTCAGTGGTTCTTATTTCAAGGATCCCAAATAAACCAAAAAGTCAATAGATAATTATAATGTAATTACTTTCCACTATATAGTCTCTATATGAACACTTGGTCAATATCTGGTTGTAAAGTAAACCACAATAACAATGAATCTTCTCTTCCAATCAGAGCCGCATGTTGAATAGCCTTTATTCTGGCCTAATCTTGACTATAATGGTAAAGGTGAACCACTGATCTGATCCAGGGCCAGTTTACCTCCCTCCCCCGTGTGGTCTGACCATATGTGCTCTCTGTGTGACCTCACAGTGACCTGGACCCGCTCCAGGTCCCTCATTGGTCAGTCCGAGTCAGGAGCACAGACAACCCCACGTGCTTGCTCGGTAAGGTAGACCCCCTCACAAAAATACTGATCCTATATTATAGAAATCCTATAGAATATTATGAATGTCCATGTAACGTGGTTTAAAATGCTCCCTCATCCACCAGATGTATGTGAAGGGAGTTCCAAAGACTTACTGTCTTATGTCAATTTCGATGGACAAAAAAGCTTTTTGAATTTGAACAAAACGTCATGTTCTTGTTGTCGCTTGTTACCACAGCCACAAAATTCAAAATTGGCTATATCGTAAACATTTATGAAAACAAAAATTTGCTTTTTGGTCTTAATTTAAAGCTACAATATGTCCTTTTTTGGAGGACCTGACAAAATTCACATAGAAATGTGAGTTATAGATTGGTAATTATCATTGAAAGCAAGGCTGAGAATCGGTAGATCTGTTCTTTGTGCTCTGTTTCTATGCTTGCTGTTTTTATGTTGCGTTTTTGCATGTTTTACTTTCGGTTTTGACACCAGCTTCAAACAGCTGAAAATAGAATATATTTAGTTATGTAAAATATATTTCACAGCGGTTTAGATGGGACAATGATTATCTACACTATACATTGCTTGTTTTGTCACATAAACTGAAATTAGGCGAACTATTCGAATTTTACCAACCAGGAAATGGCGGAGCTATATCCGCATAGTGCATCTTTTAGGTTAGGGTTAGGCATACACACAACTAATCTTCTCCTTTCCCCCTTCTGATAACCAGGTGGCGAATCGCATCTATGCATGTCTGGCAGACATATCAGTATGGATGACGGATCACCACCTCAAGCTGAACCTTGGCAAGACGGAGCTGCTCTTCCTCCCGGGGAAGGACTGCCTGTTCCATGATCTCGCCATCACAGTTGACAACTCCGTTGTGTCCTCCTCCCAGAGTGCGAAGAGCCTTGGCGTGACCCTGGACAACACCCTGTCGTTCTCCGCTAACATCAAGGCGGTGACCCGATCCTGTAGGTTCATGCTCTACAACATTCGGAGAGTACGACCCTGCCTTACACAGGAAGCGGCACAGGTCCTAATCCAGGCACTTGTCATCTCCCGTCTGGATTACTGCAACTCGCTGTTGGCTGGGCTCCCTGCCTGTGCCATTAAACCCCTACAACTCATCCAGAATGCCGCAGCCCGTCTGGTGTTCAACCTTCCCAAGTTCTCTCACGTCACCCCCGCTCCTCCGCACACTCCACTGGCTTCCAGTTGAAGCTCGCATCTGCTACAAGACCATGGTGCTTGCCTACGGAGCTGTGAGGGGAACGGCACCTCCGTACCTTCAGGCTCTGATCAGTCCCTACACACAAACGAGGGCACTGCGTTCATCCACCTCTGGCCTGCTGGCTCCCCTACCTCTGCGGAAGCATAGTTCCCGCTCAGCCCAGTCAAAACTGTTCGCTGCTCTGGCACCCCAATGGTGGAACAAGCTCCCTCACGACGCCAGGACAGCGGAGTCACTCACCACCTTCCGGAGACATTTGAAACCCCACCTCTTTAAGGAATACCTGGGATAGGATAAAGTAATCCTTCTACCCCCCCAAAAAAAATTTTAAAAAAATTGTGAAGTGGTTATCACACTGGCTATAAGGTGAATGCACCTATTTGTAAGTCGCTCTGGATAAGAGCGTCTGCTAAATGACGTAAATGTAAATGTAAATGCATACGGTTAGCGGTGTGGTTAAGGTTAGGGTTTAGGTTAGGGTTAGGTTTAAAATCACATTTTAGGAAGATAAATTGTTTTATGACTTTGTGGCTATGGTAACTAGTGATAACCTCATCTTCTCCATCCCAGGTGACTTCCTGACAGAGTTCTTTAAGCTGTGCTCCAAGAAGGAGTCAACAGAGGAGATTCTGGGAAGAGGTCCATTTGAGGAGGAAGGCAAAGGTAATGTGTTCTATGGCTACTGGGGTGTATCTCAATAGTCTAACATCTCTTTCTTTCATTTTCCAATATGGTGTATTCCCTAGGGGGATTTGTGCAGATGGAGGAAAGGAGATGAGAAGTAGAAGCCACTCTGGACCCTTGGCTTGTTGTTTTGTTTGTTTGCATGTGAAGGGAGAATATGCTCTCTCTGTTAGAGCCCACCCTCACTCCCTCCCTGTGTATGGCTTCCCTGTCCCTCCCCCTCCACTCCCTCCTCATTACAGACGACATCAGCCATGCCCTGTCTAAGCTGACGGAGCCCACGGCCGTGCCCATCCCCAAGCTGTCGGTCTCCAACATGGTGCACAGCGCCCGTAAACGCATCCGCCGCATCGACAAATCACCGCTCAGCAACGACGTGCTCAACTCCATACTGCTGGTGAGAGACACAAGCAGGCACGCACGCATGTCCTGACACACACACACACACACTCTTACACGTAAAGAAACCCACATCATCTGTGATGGGTTTACTAGGCCATGTGTTTGGCCTGTTCAGATGTCTACTGCACCCTTCTGAAGGCTTATGGGGATTTAGGCTGGCTGACATCATACTACACAAGTGGCTCTGCCTCAGTGGCTGTGTGAGAGAGAGCGAGAGATCCAGCCATTTTCTCTCTGAGCAGAGCAGGAGAGCTGAGTCTTCAGCTAGGCTCCTCTGTTACTGGCCCTGCTGTGTGGAACAGTTTCTTAATCAGCCATGAAGGCACTGGCTGTGTCCCAAAGGGCACCTTATTCCGTACATGCACACACTGCCATTGGCCTAGACCAGGGTTTCCCAAACTTGGTCCTGGGGCCCCCCCTGGGTGCACGTTTTGGTTTTTGCCCTAGCACTTCACAGCTGATTTAAAATAACCAACTCATCATCAAACTTTGATTATTTGAATCAGCTGTGTAGTGCTAGGGCAAAAAGCAAAACGTGCGCCCAGGACAGAGTTTGGGATACCCTGGGTTAGATGCTCAGTGGTCAGTCAGTCAAAACATTAAAATCAGACACTCGGTTCGTAGCAGGATTGTTCCTTGTCTCAAGGGAAGGATATGGATGTTCCCATGTATGATCGTACGTGTGTCAGTATCTCTTCCCAGACGCAGCAGGTAAGCCATCATCAGAGAACAGCGAGAGAAAGGCTGCTCAATCAAACACCGATGGGAAACCAGAAGAGAAGGATTCTGACGACTATGTATGTCTGCTCTCTGTACTTTACCAAACTATCACTGTGTCAGACACACTGCACTCCAGGGGTGTGTTCAGTAGGCATGCCATTGGAGAAACATTTTGAAATACTTTAACTTGTCTGATAAAAGCACCCATTGTAATTTTTTTGGTATGAAATAGATTTTTCCCTACTGAACTAAACTCAGAAATACAATTTTCAATTGTCAAGAAAAAGTCTGATTGATTAGTGTCATTTTCGGCAATACTGCGTCCTGATTGTAGTCCCCCCCCACCCCCCAGAGCCTGTACAACCAGCTGAAGTCTGCTCCTAGTGACAGTCTAACGTACCGCCTGGCGCTATGTCTGTGTCTGGTTAACTTCTACCATGGAGGGGTTCGGGCCGTGGCTTACCTCTAGCAGGAGTTTGTCCTGGAGATGAGATACCGTTGGGAGAACAACTACCTCGTCTACGGGTGAGAAGAAGCAGATTTTATCTGGATTGATTGATTGTTACACCAATTGCTACCCAATAGGGGAAACAACAACAGATATACCATTAGGATTAATTCTAAACTACCTCGTCTTCGGGTGAGAACATGGTCCTATTCATTACGCAACAAACAGAAGAAACTATATATTTTTCTGTTTTCCGTTTTGCTACGGTGTGCCCCGATGAATAAGACCCCAGATTATAACACCTTCAGTTGCTACCTAATGGGACACATTAACAAGCACAGCATCGATTGGGATCAATTCTATTTATATTCCTGTCAATTTAAGTTCATATGGAATTTGTCCATTAATAGACATCTACTCAGACATCCACCCACTAAATTCCTGAGGGGACTAGAATGTAACCAAATTTGATTCAACCCTCATCAAATTGGATTGAACCTGAACTGGAATCCCATCAATAATGATGTTTAGGATATACAGTACCAGTCAAAAGTTCGGACACACCTACTCATTCAAGGGTTTTTCTTTATTTTTACTATATTCTACATTGTAGAATAATAGTGAAGACATCAAAACTATGAAATAACACATATGGAATCATGTAGTAACCAAAAATATATACAGTGAGGGAAAAAAGTTTTTGATCCCCTGCTGATTTTGTACGTTTTGCCCACTGACAAAGACATGATCAGTCTATAATTTTAATGGTAGGTTTATTTGAACAGTGAGAGACAGAATAACAACAAAAAAATCCAGAAAAACGCATGTCAAAAATGTTATGAATTGATTTGCATTTTAATGAGGGAAATAAGTATTTGACCCCTCTGCAAAACATGACTTAGTACTTGGTGGTAAAACCCTTGTTGGCAATCACAGAGGTCAGACATTTCTTGTAGTTGGCCACCAGGTTTGCACACATCTCAGGAGGGATTCTGTCCCACTCCTCTTTGCAGATCTTCTCCAAGTCATTAAGGTTTCGAGGCTGACGTTTGGCAACTCGAACCTTCAGCTCCCTCCACAGATTTTCTATGGGATTAAGGTCTGGAGACTGGCTAGGCCACTCCAGGACCTTAATGTGCTTTTTCTTGAGCCACTCCTTTGTTGCCTTGGCCGTGTGTTTTGGGTCATTGTCATGCTGGAATACCCATCCATGACCCATTTTCAATGCCCTGGCTGAGGGAAGGAGGTTCTCACCCAAGATTTGACGGTACATGGCCCCGTCCATCATCCCTTTGATGCGGTGAAGTTGTCCTGTCCCCTTAGCAGAAAAACACACCCAAAGCATAATGTTTCCACCTCCATGTTTGATGGTGGGGATGGTGTTCTTGGGGTCATAGGCAGCATTCCTCCTCCTCCAAACACGGCGAGTTGAGTTGATGCCAAAGAGCTCGATTTTGGTCTCATCTGACCACAACACTTTCACCCAGTTGTCTTCTGAATCATTCAGATGTTCATTGGCAAACTTCAGACGGGCCTGTATATGTGCTATCTTGAGCAGGGGGACCTTGCGGGCGCTGCAGGATTTCAGTCCTTCACGGCGTAGTGTGTTACCAATTGTTTTCTTGGTGACTATGGTCCCAGCTGCCTTGAGATCATTGACAAGATCCTCCCGTGTAGTTCTGGGCTGATTCCTCACTGTTCTCATGATCATTGCAACTCCACGAGGTGAGATCTTGCATGGAGTCCCAGGCCGAGGGAGATTGATAGTTATTTTGTGTTTCTTCCATTTACGAATAATCACACCTACTGTTGTCACCTTCTCACCAAGCTGCTTGGCGATGGTCTTGTAGCCCATTCCTGCCTTGTGTAGGTCTACAATCTTGTCCCTGACATCCTTGGAGAGCTCTTTGGTCTTGGCCATGGTGAAGAGTTTGGAATCTGATTGATTGATTGCTTCTGTGGACAGGTGTCTTTTATACAGGTAACAAACTGAGATTAGGAGCTTTAAGATTGTGCTCCTAATCTCAGCTCGTTACCTGTATAAAAGACACCTGGGAGGCAGAAATCTTTCTGATTGAGAGGGGGTCAAATACTTATTTTCCTCATTTAAAATGCAAATCAATTTGTAACATTTTTTACATGCGTTTTTCTGGATTATTTTGTTGTTATTCTGTCTCTCACTGTTCAAATAAATATACCATTAAAATTATAGACTGATCATTACTTTGTCAGTGGGCAAATGTACAAAATCAGCAGGGGATCAAATACTTTTTCCCCCTCACTGTGTGTTATATTTGAGATTCTTCAAAGTAGCCACCCTTTGCCTTGATGACAGCTTTGCACAGTCTTGGCATTCTCTCAACCAGCTTCATGAGGTAGTCACCTGGAATGCATTTAATTTAACAGGTGTGCCTTGTTAAAAGTTAATTTGTGGAATTTCTTTCTGTCTTAATGCATTTGAGCCAATCAGTTGTGTTGTGACAAGGTAGGGGGGGCATACAGAAGATAGCCCTATTTGGTAAAAGACCAAGTCCATATTATGGCAAGAACAGCTCAAATAAGCAAAGAGGAGAAACGACAGTCCATCATTACTTTAAGACATGAAGGTCAGTCAATCCGGAAAAAGTCACGAACTTTGAAAGTTTCTTCAAGTGCAGTCGCAAAAACCATCAAGCGCTATGATGAAACTAGCTCTCATGAGGACCGCCACAGGAAAGGAAGACCCAGAGTTATCTCTGCTGCAGAGGATAAGTTCATTAGAGTTACCAGCCTCAGAAATTGCAGCCCAAATAAATGCTTCACAGAGTTCAAGTAACAGACACATCTCAACATCAACTGTTCAGAGGAGAATGTGTGAATCAGGCCTTCATTTTTTTATTTCACCTTTATTTAACCAGGTAAGCCAGTTGAGAACAAGTTCTCATTTACAACTGCTGGTCGAATTTACATTTTTACATTTTTAGTCATTTAGCAGACGCTCTTATCCAGAGTGACTTACAGTTAGTGAGTGCATACATTTTCATACTGGCCCCCCGTGGGAAACGAACCCACAACCCTGGCGTTGCAAGCAGAATTGCTGCAAATAAACCACTACTAAAGGACACCAGTAATAAGAAGAGACTTGCTTGGGCCAAGAAACACGAGCAATGGACATTAGACAGGTGGAAATCTGTCCTTTGGTCTGATGAGATTTCTGGTTCCAACCGTCGTGTCTTTGTGAGACGCAGAGTAGGTGAACGGATGATCTCCGCATGTGTGGTTCCCACCGTGAAGCATAGAGGAGGAGGTGTTATGGTGTGGGGGTGCCTTGCTAGTGTCACTGTCAATGATTTATTTAGAATTCAAGGTACACTTAACCAGCATGGATAGCACAGCATTCTGCAGCGATACGCCATCCCATCTGGTTTGCGCTTAGTGGGACTATCATTTTGTTTTTCAACAGGACAATGACCCAACACACCTCCAGGCTGTATAAGGGCTATTTGACCAAGGAGGAGAGTGATGGAGTGCTGTATCAGATGACCTGGCCTCCACAATCACCTGACCTCAACCCAATTGAGATGGTTTGGGATGAGTTGGACCGTAGAGTGAAGGAAAAGCAGCCAACAAGTGCTCAGCATATGTGGGAACTCCTTCAAGACTGTTGGAAAAGCATTCCAGATGAAGCTGGTTGAGAGAATGCCAAGAGTGTGCAAAGCTGTCATCAAGGCAAAGGGTGGGTACTTTGAAGAATTAAAAATATAACATATTTTGATTTGTTTAACACTTTTTTGGTTACTACATGATTCCATATGTGTTATTTCATAGTTTTGATGTCTTCACTATTATTCCACAATGTAGAAACTAGTCAAAATAAAGAAAAACCCTTGAATGAGTAGGTGTGTCCAAACTTTTGACTGGTAGTGTACACTGTGACAGTATACTGAATCATCATCATTCTCCTCTCTTTCAGACTGGCCGGTGGTCCCTCAGACCTCCGCTGCTGTCTCCTCCACCAGAAACTCCAGGTAACTAACCAATTATACATGTATAATAGCCTGTAGTTTACTCTGTGAACAGCCTCAGTAATCAATGTAGTGAGGTCCATATGTATACAGTTGGGTCCAGTCAATCAACTGTATACATACAGACCTCGCTATGATTATTACTAAGTCTGTTTACTTAGTCCTAACATAGCTTTCTCCTTCCCTCTTTAAGGCCTGCAACAACAGCAAAGTACAGAATGGTGAGCGTCAGCCAATGGATGCAGCAGGTTTCACATGGGCTGATAATGATGTCTCTGACTTA